GCATGACAATTCTTTTGGTAAAATGCCCTCTTAGAAAACGTGCATCGGATCTTGGACAAGCCCAGAAGTTATTGAAAAATTTGTCAGTTTCATTAAACTACTTCTCCCGTTTATCCCCCACATCTTACTCCAGTATTTTCGGGTACCTTTGGATACTTGATCAAGAAAATCACATTGTTCATTCACCTCACTTTCAAGTACTGTAAATTCAGAAATTATTGCGTGCATTTATTATTGCGATTTTGTCATTTTAGACTAAAATGCGATTTTAACTTTTGCGATATTGAGAAAAATCATGTTTAATTCATATAAAAAATTTCAAAATGCGAGTTTACATTATTGCGATTATAACCCTGTCGCATTTTTCGCAATAATAAAAACATCGCAATAATTTCTGAATTTACATTTTTTTTTCTGAAACAAGTGTTTGTGACCATCCACAAGAACTTGCGGTCATCCGATGTTCAGTACTTCAGTACTTTGATTTTATTAGTTCTAAAAGGCTTTGAACTAGCTGTCAGTAACTCCGAATACTCTCAGATCTCTACTGTATGTCTTCTTAGGGATTTATAAATACCCTGCCACGTCCAGTCTGTGTTTTTGTTAGGTGTTTTTCTGTTTGCATCGATCGAATAATTTAAGCCCTTTTCTTTCAACTAAGTTTTATCATTTTTTTTATGTTTTACTGTTACACTACTGTCCCAGGTTAGGTGGAGGGTTGGCGCCTTCAAACATGTTTACCCCCCCCCCCCCCCCCCCCCTTTTCAACACACACACACACTCACATTCTAAATGTAAATGTCCCAAGTCAGGAGCCTGTAGTTCAGTGGTTGTCGTTGGTTCATATCTGTCATATTTGTTTTTCTGTAATTGTTTCGTTATAAATTAGGCCAATAGTTTTCTCAATTGAATTGTTTTATATTTTTATATGTCGGGGCCTTTTTATAGCCGACTATATGGTATGGGTTTTTCTCCTTGTTGAAAGCCGAACAGTTGCCTATAATTGATTACAATGTATATCCACTTCATTTAAACTTTGGTGGATTGTTGTCTCATTGGCAATCATACCACATCTCCTTATTTTTCTATGGAACAATACAGTTTTACGACAAATCCTTTCAAAAATGAACATAATTAGATGGCAATAACAAAATCACTTGGTAACCTTCTACTGTCTTATAGTTACCAGACAGAAGATCACAAGACATGTTGACCAGTGAAATGACCACAACACTTATTGACAAGTGATATTACCGCAAGACTTATTGACCAGTTAAATGACCCTAAGACAAATGACCAGAGAGATGACCGCAAGATATATTGACCAGTGAAATAATGATAAGATATATTGACAAGTAAGATGACTGCAAGATATATTGACCAGTTAGATGACCGTAAGATATATATATATTGATCAGTGATATGACGGCAAGGCATTTTATTTTTGGAAAGGCGAATAAAATGTTTTTAACCAATCAGCTGCTTCAAATCAATAAGTATACTGATTATGTTGTTTGCAGTGTTAATGGGGTATCCAAACACTTTGACTAAAATAGACTTTGGCACGTTTAATTTTCTTAAAATTTTGACAAAATATTTAATTTGACCTGGGAAAAAAAATTAACCACACACTTTACAGGAATAACTTCATTAGATATATATAGCAATTTGACAAACACTAATATTGTTCATTGTGAAGCTTAATTTCCCTTTACTAATAGACGGTGATTAAAACGTTCAGCTGATTTCTAAAGAGTTAACTCCTTTAGGTGTTCTGCTCGTCCTTAATACTGTGAAAAAATTGGGATAAACATTTGACAAAATTCAAAATGGTAGTAAAAGTTATACACACCTCCAATTTTAATATTAAAAACCATTTTGTTACAAATATAGATTAAAACATATTTTAAGATTTCGAAATCGCACTTTAAATGTATGATACTTTTTTCACTGTGACGATACGTGTTTCTGAAGTTAACTCCATTAGTTAGACACGAACACATCATGTAAGGGGAAAACTGAATAGCCAGATTGTTTAAAGGTAATATTTGTCTTATGGAGTTTGAGCTCAATTTTAATTAAATGAATAATGAATAAACAATTAATGGGCAAATGTATCGTTTATACCGAAGTTCTAGCTACTTGGGAATTGCCTTGCCGTCATCTCACTGATCAATGTATATTTATTTTAACTGTATGTAAATCCCACAGCAGCGATATCGACCCTGTCAAATAAATAACCAATACATTTAAAACTGGTACCTGACCATTATTTAGAGGTTAGCAAAAAGGAAATGACGTTTTGAACTTCCGGTGATAACTTTAATCAAGATTTATATGTTATCTTAATACATTTGAACATCAATTAACTGAATGGAATTTTTAATAGAAAAGGATAGAGTAGTCAATACTTCATCAATTTAGCCAATTTGAGTAGATCAACTTTAAAATTCGAAAATCGGTATATCGTATTGAGTTTCATGTTAGTTTAAACACAACTGCTCAGTTTCCATTATAGAAGTTTTAAAATTTTCTCCAGCTCAAAATAGATTTTTGTTACTTAATATCATTTTTACGTAGTGTTGTCTTGATCATACATTCAGGTAATTAAGTTTGGTTATCACCCCTAGATCATACATTCAGGTAAATAAGTTTGGTTCTCAACCGTAGATCATACTTTCAGGTAAATAAGTTTGGTCCTCAATCGTAGATCATACACACGGGTAAATACGTTTGGTTCTCAACCGTGGTTCATGCATTCAGGTTAATAAACCGTAGATTTTACATGCAGGTAAATAAGTGTGCTTCTCAACCGTAAATCATACATTCAGGTAAATAAATCGTAGATCATACATTCAGGTAAATAAGTTTGGTTCCTTTAGAAGACACCAAAAGGAACTGAGGACAAGGGACTCTTAAAATATTTATTTAAATAATGTGTATTGTTTTTTTTTTTTTTTTTTTTTTTTTTTTGTGTGTTTTGTCATTTGCTATAGTTGTAGTATATTATGACAATAAAGATTTGAAACTCACATATTACGAGGAAAACCAGGTAAAGAGGTTTACTGAATTATTTTCAAATCTTTAATGACATTTCCGTTACCCCTAGTAGTGGGACTCGGAAAGCTCGAGCAGTGCGCATTGTAATTTGTATCCTACGTTCAATCCCGGAGTATACAAATTGGACCGTCACCTTCTCCTCTTGCAATTATGTTACACAATTTGGTTGAAAGGGATCCTTGAGGCATTATTAGTTTACCAATGTTTAAATCTTACTAATCAATTAAGAAGATACAAGTCTAAATAGCAAGTAAAAGGAGCAGGATCGGGTGCGTCGACAGGATAGGCGTTTCCTGCATCAGCCGCCCTAATACGAATCCACAGTCAAAATAACACCATCGGTAATTTATAGACCAGATAACTATTCTACTAGACCGCGAATAAAGATGCGTGTCTCTGTATTGTAAAAAATGGGTCAAAATATGAATCTAAATAGTGTCGAGATTGCAAAAAATGTAAGATCATTAGCTACGAGTTTATAAAAAAAAAAAAAACATGATTTTTTTTTCAATCATTAATGAAAGTAAAAAAGTGAAATAATAATTCGCTTCCGTGTACCTAAAAATAGATATTCCAAGGCAAAGTCATTGACGAAGGTTTATGACGTCATGTAAATTCCCGTTTTTTTCTTTTTCTTCTTGTGTTGGTGTATTTTTTCTCTTTTTCTTGTTTTCGGTGTATTTTTTTAGAAAACTTTATTGAATATTTCAACACATATATATATAATCGGTGCAATTTGGGAGGAAAATTTAATGTTATTTTTATTATTTTGTTGTGTACAGAAAACATAAAACAATTATTTTTTTTTCACTCAAATTGTACCGATTGTAAGCTTGTGATTTTGCTTCTTTTAGTTGCTATATATTACATTACCGAGTACCAGGATATCCTACCACACAGTAGGTAACCTGTCGAAAAATAAACTCTGGAGTCAAACATCGGTAATATGAAAATAGTCTATTCATCACAGATACAGATAATCATATATAAATGTAAAAATTAGAAACAATAAATTTAAATAGTGTATATATTTTTGAATTTTGAATGTGGAAATACAAACTGAATCAATTCACTAAATTTAATATCTAAGACAGTTTATGTAAAAAAAAGTCAGGATAAACTAATAAAAAAAAGGCAGGACCGTATAGAGTGAAAAATAAAAAGGCAGAACAGAAATTATAACAAAAAAAAAATGCAAGACAAAACTTTTCATCCTACCACCCCCCCCCCCCCCCCCCCCCCCCCCCCTCTTCCCTCATAAAAATCAAATGGTAGCTCCCTAACAAGTTAATCGTGTTTAACTAATAATTATAATAACAAACATGAATTATTATACCATTAACACATGCACAATTAAGCTGATTCGGTCCTCAGATATTATGACTGCCTAAAAAATACATAACAGTTAACGAATTTTCTAAATCGTGAAATTGAATTATAATAAAATCTGTGATAACGATTTTAATCCAAAATAACGGTTCACAAAAATCTGTGATTACCAATTCAACAAATTCGTTATAACGAATTTAATCCGTTATCACGAATTACATAAAAAAAATGTGATAGCAAATTACACACATTCATGATAACGAATTAAATCCATTATACAATTCGTTATCACGTTTTTAATCAGTTATCACGAATTACAAAAAAATTGTGACAACGAATTTAATCCGTTAATGCGAATTACAAAAACTGTTATGACTAATTTCATATATTTGTGATTACGAATTTAATCTGTGATAACAAATTCTTTAATTCGTGATAACGATTAAAATCCGTGATATCGAATTCAATTATATTTTTCTGAGTTCCTAAATGGGTTTCCGTAGATGCTGAACACTAGAACTGATGATAAATACAATTAAGTTATCTATGATGATAAAGAAGACTAAGATACTGAAATCCAATCAGTCAATTAAAAGTAAAAACTTACTTACCGTTATGTTGTCCGTTGCGCAAGTTTTTTTCGGATTAAACTTAATATTCCTCCAGTTTTTAATTTCTTCAAAGTAATACAATTAGTATCAGAAAAACAATGTTTATTCGGTGTATACCTAATATTCCTCCAGTTTTAAATTTCAATAAAACAATGCAATTAATATCTGAAAAACAATGTTATCTTTAGAATAAGAAGTTTATATCCGTAATAGCGCCAAACAACCAATGAGGAAAGCAAAACTAAAAATACGCCTTTAACTTCTACTAAAGTACACAGATTACAGTTCAATATTTATCTGATGGTTTATATTGATCATGTTCCCTTATTATTGGAAACATATCATCAACTCAACTACATATTTATTGGGTTATATAATGTTTGTTCCAGTAATCATTATCTAATTTAAAATCTCCGATATGGATTCCGCCTGAAATTCTATTGTCTGTAATTCAAAGCTGCATGTTTATTGTCTTTTAGTTTTTCACAAAATAAAGTTTTATTTAACCTTACTTTTTATGCCTTTTTTTTGGGGGGGGGGGGGGAGGGGTCAACATTTTCAACATGTGGTATTGTCTGTTAGTTTTCTCAAAATAAAGATTGTTTAACTATTCTTTTCTTTTTCTTTCTTTTTTTTTTTGGGGGGGGGTCAACATCTTTAATTATATGTGATGCGTCATGCAACTGAACTCAGTTTCAGAGGAGTCCGAGTCCGATGTCAGAATAGGAAACAAAAGAAAATAAACAAAATGACAATAATACGTAAATAAAAACAGACTACTACATTGTAGCAGTTACTGACATGCCATTCATTTGTTATGGATAGCACGTGCAGTCATAACTGCTGTATATTATATGGAAATAATTACATTACATGAGGGTGTGGATGGGGTTTACAATAGAGAATAATGGGCAAAATATACAAAGAATAGAAAAAAGTTGACAAAAAAAATAAAGAATAGAGAATAATAAGGTGCTAAAATATAAAGAATAGAGAATAATAAGGTGCTAAAATATAAAGAATAGAGAAGAAATTAAGGTGGTGGTCAATTACACCACAAACATTCACATGTACGTTCTGGTTCTATAAAAATGAGGTGGTGGTCAAGTACACCGCAAAAATTACGTTCTTATTAAGATATTACACGCTTTAATCTAATGAAGTCAATTAATGATAAAGAAATTTACTTTCTGATGATAAATATAGAAAAAAAAGAATATGGGGTATTATTGCCAATGAGACAACTATCCACTAAATGACGTATAGTTTATAGGTCACCTTCAACATTCAGCAAAACCTATAAAGTCTTGTCTGGTCATGCATTGCTTTCACGATCAAAATAACGCGTTGCCTGATCTTTCACGATCAATTTTGATTAAAAATCAACAAAATTTTTCTTTTAAAAAATACTCCTGACCTTTTCAAAGAAAACATCACTTCCATTTCATTGTACTATCTGAAGATTTAGTTTCAAACATTGACTTGGATGGAGAGTTGTCTCATTGGCACTCATACCACATTTTCTTATATCTATATCATGATTTATTGGAATGTTACCATTGTAGATCCAAAATGTGGTTTTTCTTAAGTGATTCGCATAATGGAGTGATCGAGTCGCCTTTGATTTTTATTCAAAAGAACTGCATTTCTTCTTAATCTTAGTGCAAAGTATTATCAAGTAAGTTGAAGCATTTTGACAGACACATGTCTTTTTTTCTGATTTTTTCTGCCAGTTGAAACTACAATGGACATTTTCACAGATTTTTCAGTTGAATTCTATTTAATTTATTTCACGATCCGATACCAGATCTTTCATGATCCGATTACAATGCTTGGCCATCGTTACTTATTCTTTCACGATAAATTTTCTCGATATACCGAATGATAGCCATGAAGAATTGAATGTGTGCGCACGATCAACGCTTTTACAACCCTATGAAATTATAAAAAGAAGCATTCAATTCTTAAGTAAATATGATATTGGAGTATTTGCAATTGTTGTCAGCCAATCAAAATTACTGATTCTAATGAAACATACATGTACATTAATTCTTTACCTATGACGATTAGAAACTCGGAAGAGTCATGAAATTTTAAAGGAGAATTAAGATCTATCAACCAATGTTCTGCTTGTAAAGTCGATTAAACAAATCAAGAAATTTCTGAATTATTTACTTGTTTGTTTTCGTTTTAATTTAGCAAACATAGGATCGTATGTACATTTCATTTAAGTTCATCAAAACGTTGTAATTACGAATATACATGAGGGTCCACAGAACAGAACCAATACTAAAGACAAATAAGCCAAAAGATAAAGAATAAAGAAAAATAAGCAAAAACATATATAATACAGAATAATAATGTGGTGTTAAAATTCAAAGAAAATAGATTAATGGATTGTTGTGACATAAAGAATAGACAATAATGGGTAAACATATAAAGAATAGAGAATAATGACATAAACAGTTGAAGAATGCATGTGACGTCCATTTTCACTGAACTAGTACACAATTTTATTTAGGGGCCAGCTGAGGACCATCTCCGGGTGGGGGATTTTGTCGCTGCGTTGAATACCCATTGGTGGCCTTCGGCTGTTGTCTGCTCTTTGGTCGGGTTGTTGTCTCTTTGACATATTCCCCATTTCAATTCTCAATTTCATTTAGAAATGGAGCCCGCACCCAGATCCTCGTATATTAAATTTGGAAAGTAGCAAGGATTAATGCATTTGGATTTCTATGTTTGTGTATGCTGAACAAGGTAAAACTAAAATTATAGTAGATTCGATTCATCAAATAAACAAAAGGCTTACAACTTATCCAATTGAATTGAAGGCTAGTTGCCAATGAGACAGAAACGCAACGAAAAAAAAAAAAAAACCAACAAAACACTTTTCTAATGTAGTTAATTAATTGAGATTTTTTTAATCTAAAAAAAAATTCTACACTCGTCTTTAATGCATACTATATTAGCATTTTTGTGTAATATACCCGGACATATACAATATATGTACATTGTCGGAAAATATAAATTTCATATTTTATATCCGACAATGTACATACATTGTTTTTATCCTGAAATTCACACCCTGCACTTTGAGGTTTGGTTGTCTCTGATTTTTTCGACATAGTTTAAACGCGGACCGCGAAGAGAATCCCAAAATGAACTGTTATCCAAAAAGAAATAGTCACATAACCGTTTGCTCAACATGGAAGCGGAGTAACAGGAGACTAAAGCAAAACATTATTTGTGTACATGTTATTTGTACTATAATAGTTGGCTTATTGCAGGATAAAATCTACTCCTTACAAAGTAGACAGGGAACAATAACCAGTTATTTTTTTGTGGTTGGATCTGACCAGAAATCAAACCAACGACTTCAAGCACACAAGGCAAGCATGATATTATCAACTGAATATAAAAATAAAAAGATGTGGTATGATTGCCATTGAAGCAATGTCCACCAGAGACCAAAGGACGTAAAAGTAAGCAACTTCTGAAGGCGGTTTTAGTCATATTATTTGAATGTTTCAACTATTTTTATTTTCGTATTGAAATTCTGTCAACAAATTTATTGAGTGTTAATTATGGGTTTTCATATTAATCCTGTTTGGCGAGACTCGTCGTAATGGTAATGGGCTTTCATATTAATCTTGTTTGCCGAGACTCGTCGTAATGGTAATGGGTTTTCATGTTAATCATGTTTGACGAGATTTATCGTAATGGTAATGGGTTTTCATATTAATCCTCTTTGACGAGACTCGTCGTAATGGTGATGGGTTTTCATATTAATCCTGTTTGGCGAGACTCGTCGTAATGGTAATGGGTTTTCATATTAATCCTGTTTTGCGAGACTCGTCGTAATAGTAATGGGTTTTCATATAAATCCTGTTTGCCGAGCCTCATCATTTTTATGGGTTGTCTTATGAATCCTGTTTGGCGAGAATCATTTTCTTGGTTTTAATGTGTACATGTTTTGTCATGGGAATCCTGTTTGTCGAGACTCATTTTCTTGGTTTTAATGTATTAATTGGTAGTATTTTGAATCCTGTTTGGCGAGACTTATCTTCTTGGTTTAAATGTATTAACTAGATTTCATATTAATCATGGATGGCACGACTCGTCGTCTTGGATTTAATGTGGTAGTTGGTTGTCATGGGAATCCTATTTGGAGAGACTCATCTTCTTGGTTTTAATATGTTAGTTGGATTTCATATGAATCATGTTTGGCGAGACTCATCTTTATGGTTTTAATTTGTTAATTGGATATCATATGAATCATGTTTGGCAAAACTCGTCTTCTTTATTTTAATGTGTACATGGTTTGTCATATGAATCCTGTTTGGCGCGACTCATCTTCTTAGTGTAAATATGTTAATGGTTTGTCCTATGAATCCTGTTTGGCGAGACCCATCTTCTTAGTTTTAATATGATAATGGATTGTTATATTTATCCTGTTTGACGTGACTCTTCTTCTTGGTTTCAATGTGTTAATTAAATGTCATATGAATCCTGTTTGGCTTGGCGAGACTTAGTCTGTTAAGCAAACATTGATGAATGCGACTGAATAAAAGATTCAATAAAAGAAATACAATTAACCTCCCAATTTATATATCAAAACTTATATTTCCTTTACTAGATGGCAAAATCAAAAGCTCAAACACATCAAAGGAATAGAAAATAACTGTCATATTCCTGAATTGATACAGGCATTTCCTTGTGTAGAAAACGATAGATTCATCGCATGCGCACACAGAGTGTACAAATCATCAGTGCAAAATTATATTCTTGATCCCGACTAGTTTACCACAAACTAAAATATTATTAATCAGATATTGGTCTCCTGATGTAGTTGATAAGCACTAGAATTAATGAGGCTCCTATACAAAAAGGTCATTTTAACTGACGACCTTTAAATGTTTGCTCATATCTTTTCATCGTGCTTTCACCGATATATGTGTAATACATATTTTATGTCAGTGTGAGTGTCTACGTCACCAGAGATATAACATATTACGTTATATAATATTTATGTCTCTAGTGTTATAATTTCTATTTAATAACAATAAAGTATTTTATTCCACTCTATATAAATATTGATTGGTAAATAAATATTTGATTGATTGAAACTTTCCAACGTGACATTGCACAAAAATATGATATTACCCTCTGATCATCGTGTCGTAACGCAGGATTCAAATTAAGTTTTCGAACCACGAGATCATTGTCAATGAGTGTTTTTACTTATTTCAAGCGTATAATAGAACAAACCTGTGGTTTAAATACTTTTATTCAATGTAATTATAAAATCAAAGTAATATGATAAACTGCATGTACCTGAATTTTCTGTTTTCTGGACGTCAAATAAAGAGAGAAGGGAACACATCCATTTACTTTGCCACAAGGAGATATGTTTTTTTTCTCCCACTCTATGTAAATATTGAAAGCTTAACAATATTCGATTGGTTGATATTATCCCATATGACATTGAACAAAACATCATATTCCCTCTAAACATCGTATCTACCTCGCGCAACGTAAAGTGAATGTTACTTAGGGGTTGACCATTTAAAAATCAGGGATTGGGTGTTTGAGACTGAAATATTTTGAAAATGAATATCCCGGCCAGGTGAGAACTGAAATTTCTTTTACTGCCGATGAAAAAAGGAAAATGTATTTGGACAACAGTGAAAATAAACAAAGCAGATGAGAAATCACATGTCAATACATTCCAGTCGGCTTCTCTTAATTAGTTACAAACAGGCAGAAATTTGCGCCGGTCGTCATGCAATTAGAACAATTGATACAAAATAATTGCTTTAATAATAAGAAAAAAAGTGAAAATGAATATTCGATCCACAAAAATATCCTTCTGCCATCCTTGTTTATTAATTTTAACGTTTTCAACTAAGTCCAAAAGATGCAGTCATTTTTAGATTTTTGAAATTAAAAAATTTAGGTACGACTGTATTTTCATCATCTCGGTTACCCATTACATCGGTCTGTTACAATCGAAACTACTCGGTCATTCTCGCTACGCCGACGATGAGTAGCGAGAATGGTCGAGTAGTTACGATTGTGGTCGGTTTAATAGAAAACGTTGTTTACACGTAGTTCACTTTGTCACTTAGGTGTATCTATTGGCATCTTGGATTTCAAATCTTAAATTTAGAATAATCATATAATTGTGCACAATTGGTCGACGTTTATTCCAATATCTCATGTTAGAAGATTGTCATGTTAGTCAAGTTTTATTAACTCATGCAAGCCGCTCTGTGGAGATGTAGGTCATGAGAAGATAAAACGTTTAATAAAATGAGAAATAACATAGTCTAGTATTTGGCAATGTGTTTTCATATGTTGTGTATCACAGTTTATTAATGTATGCATGCAAGATGAATAGACAAAAATAAATAGTTTATTATCTTTTCAGCGTAGTAAACTGTGCAGCTTCACCACCTCCGCTGAAAAATAATAATACAAAATTAATCTTACAATTCCGAAGACCTTTATAATTTTTATAACAATTACTCCTTATATAGTTTGACCTGATCGTGTACGCTTTACATTACAACGTTAGTACGGAATGTTCAATCTATCGAAGAAATTATGACCTATTGATAAACTAGAGTTCCGTAGCAGTTTGTTATTATCATACATTTTTCTCTAATTCTTTGGCAATTTAACACTTTCTGGACCCATTGTATAAAACAAATTAAGCAACGAGTGGTTGCCGTTGATCTGATCGGCCAAGTATAAGGGTAATAACCAGTCCTTTTTGTTAGATGTATTTCTTTTTGTATCCATCTGATGAGTTAAGCCTTTTTCAACTGATTTTTATAGTTCGTTCTTATGTTGTACAAAAAAATGTACCGTACCACCACTGTTCCAGGTTAGGGGGGGTTTAGGATCCCGCTAACATGTTTAACCCCGCCACATTATGTATGTACCTTTCCCAAGTCAGGAGTTTGTAATTCAGTGGTTGTCGTATGTTGATGTGTTACATATTTGTTTTTCGTTCATTTTTTTTTTACATAAATTAGGACGTTAGTTTTCTCGTTTGAATTGTTTTACATTTGTCATTTCGGGGCCTTTTATAGCTGACTATGCGGTATGGGCATTGCTCATTGTTGAAGACCGTACGGTGACCTATAGTTGTTAATTTCTGTGTCATTTGGTCTCTTGTGAAGAGTTGTCTCATTTGCAATCATACCACATCTTTTTTATCTTAGCAGCTCGCTTGATTTATCTTAGGGTGTATTGCATTTCCGCTAATTTTTCAAAGTTCCAATACTACGTTTCCGGAAACTTAAAAGTATACGTTTCCAGAAATTGTATTTATTACTTTTCCGGAAATTTACCTGGTAGTAAATTATTAATATTTGAATATATGTTAGATACATTATTTATTTTATATTTTATACAAAAAAGGTTCTGATCTTATATCTACAATATACTAGATATAAAAAAATAAAAGTTTCACCTAAGTGAAAGATGATGATGTTGGAATCGTTATATTTTTATGTTTCACCAACTTGAAATGTCTATAATCGTATATGTAATGAAATAACTGATATTTTCATAGATGGCACAGTTAAGTATTCGATACATGGGTGTAAAATGGTAACTACATTCCTCTTGTGTTTGCGTTACTTCCACTTTTTATTAAAATGTGGGATCTGCTTATTGATGTGTGCACTACCCGAAGACTAACTCTCCAGCCCGAGGTAGATCATATTGACTTTGAATGTGCAATGCATACTGCTGTTTCAAAAATTTCATGATGCTACAATCAGTTGTTGCAGGTTTCATTTAGGACAAAGTTCAAGGTACTCCTTAATTTTTATCTCGAAAAAGTAATAATTTATTTTTTTCCGGAATCGTTACTATTTTCTCGGAAAAGTAAGGTATTTATTTGCGGAAACGTAGACTTTTTTTTGCGGAAACGTCATCTTTTTTTCACGGAAAAATAATGCCAATTTGCGGAAACGTAAAACACCGTTATCTTAATGTGCTAACATGTGTTAGAGAAATTGAGAACTTTGTCGAATGTCCGAGGCTCGGCTGAAAAGTTTTAAATTTGAGCATGAATCGTCTTATGGCTAATTCAGTGTGAGCATAACTGGTTTTCATACGATGTAAGCCATTGGCTACTTTTGAGGGCCATACAGTGACCTATAGAAATTAAGATATTCTCTTTTTTGTCACATGTAGGAAGCTGAGAAGAATGAATTGACTGGAGAATGTTCAGTGGTCAAGTTACAATCCATTCTTCAGAAGAGTAAGTCAGGTTATATAACTGGACTTATCCCGAAGGGTTGTTTAGTTTAAAACGGAATTGAAACTTTTCTTTTGTTTTGTTATGTGGTCTGGTTGGATATTTAGATCTGTAGAAATGCATACCCCACGTGTTCATTTTTCCACACAATATGACCTCCATTCGTTGTTATGTCGCCGCTATTTATTGCTGATCTACATACTGGTAAATTCTAAAGAAAAATAAGAAATGCCATAACGTTTTATACAGTACCATCTAATTGTGTATCAGCAGCCGGTCGTACGAACGTGTCATTAGTCTAATGAGTCATTAAGTCTTCATTAGCCTAATGCGTCATAAAGGCTTAATGAGGACTTAATGACCCATTAGGCTAATGCCACGTTCGTACAACCGGCTGCTGAGGTCCATAAACTCATCATATATACTTAAAGTGGTGTACCCGGGACGCGCGAATCGTCTACAAAAGACTCATCAGTAATGCTCGAATAAAAAAAGTTAAAAGACGATATTTATGTAATTTTGTATTCTAAGTCCATATTTACTTTATAAAATAATGTTTACATTAAAAAGAAACATTGACAGAAAAAGACTGTTATTTACTTGTTATCGTCTCTTAAAACATTGTTATATATCCCGTCCAAGCTAAATTACCAGTATACATGTATACTTAAACTATTGCTATTGTTTATGTTTATTTTTACCAAAGTATGACAGGAAAATGTTGTTTACGTTTTTCTTACGTGTAATATTATATGCATCAAATCATTTGGGATATCCTACAACAGCGCCATCTTATATATTCAAAATTAAAATTAAAAAAATACCGAACTTCAAGGAAAATTCAAAACGGAAAGTCCCTCATCAAATGGCAAAATCAAAAGCTAAAACACATCGAACGAAAGGAAAACAACTGTCATATTCCTTTTGTAGAAAATGGTGATTAAACCTGGTTTTATAGCTAAACAAACCTCTCACATGTATGACAGTCGCATATAATTTCATTATATTGACAACGATGTGAGAGCTTTATCTTCATTTTGCTTAGAATTTCTTGTATAAATAACAACATTGGCATGTAATCTTCCATTTTCGCACGATATTACAAGAAAACTAGTGAATCATTGTTGGGAAAGAAGAAATGGTCATTCATGAGCAAAATTTAAGTTAACTGTTACAGTACCAGAATTTTTCCAATTTTGCCTTTTTTTGAAAATAACATACCAATGAAAATCTATGCGCATGATAGTTAGGATTCAGATCTGTACAGCCTGCTGGACAGTCACCACTGAAAAAAGACATAATCAGTTTACAATACTTGCTACAGTTGTTACAGCAGTTACACTCCCCGGTAGCCAACCGTGCTTCCGATATTGGCATGATTTAAAAAGATATATTTAATCTGTCAATTACCAGTTCATAAATTTAAAACAAAATGTAATAAAACTAACTGAACTTTGTTTGGTTTTGGTAGTTCTGTTAAGACCTGTTTGTTTTGTACTATCTCAAACTTCGGCTTTTAAAACTTGTGGTATCATGTTAACTTAATAAAAAAATTTCAAAAATAAACAGTGTATCGTTGGTCTTTCCTATTGTAAATACGAAATTGCGGAAAACTAATGATCCAAAAGCTCTTTAATTGTGTAGAGTTAGGTAAGGATCGGGATATTAACAAAAAAACTTTTTTTACGGTCCTACATAACCAATACTTTTTTTACTCCTGATACTGCATAGTTTCCCCTTCCCCTATTTAAAACTCTGGATTCGCATTTGTCATTAATAAATTATTGTATGCTGCAATAAGAAATGAATTAATAAGATGGCCTAATGTTGATGAAATTATTTTCCAATTTATTTCTTCTCTAGGCCGTTGTTTAATATTTTGTAATTTGTTACCTACCTGCACATTGCTTTGTCTTCTACGCCACAGTCGGAGAATTTGGTGGAACAAGTCAAAGTTATTGTCTCTACAACTAAAATCAATATGTGACGTCATCATTCAATTCTTCAATGGACAAAACAAAGTCTTAAAGTACCGAAGTTTGTTTCACATGTGAAGCAATAACTGCTTACCAATCCGGAGCACCTACGATCACCAACAGTTTTTGATGGGAAGCATGTTGCTCAGTGTTTAGATTTCAATGTTGGGTTTTTTTTGGTCCTTTGGTCGTCTTTTGCCAAGGCATTGTCAGTTCGTTTTTTTTAATTATGAGTTTGAATATCTCTTTGGTATCTTCCGTCTCTCGTGTATATACAATTAAGAAATGTGGCATGAATCTTTTGAATGTCTTTTGTATTGCTTTAAAAACGACTAAAATAAAATTAACAAATTAACAAATGTTTGAAAAATATAAATAACTTTTCAAAGCTTGAGAATATAAAAAAGAAATCAAAGCCTGAAGAACTTCATAACGAGATTATAACGAGATTTCCAGGTGTAGATTTACACATGAAGATGCATTATACAGTTAAAAGTACTTTCTCGTCCAATTGAATACTGTTGAATTAGTTAACGACATCTTACCAAAAAATGAAGCTGAATGTGTTCCTGTACTTGAGGTTGCCTCACATGTATATTCTCCAGACCCTGCAGACGACGAAAGTCGGAAAACTAAAGCGCCATTTTGTAGAACTTGTGAATTAGAAGGCATACCGCCAACGACCTTATTGTACTTGATGGTATACTTGTCAACGCTGGTAACATTGCAAATAGCACTAACTGTATTGCCACGTGCCACTTCGTAGTACTTCTGCACTGGTTCAATATGTAAACGGTTATCTACAATCGAAAGGTAAAACAGAAATTGTTTGGGTTTTTGGCAGTTTTATCGTTGAGTTTAGTCTTTTCTATTACTTGAGACATAATAAACCATGTGATCAATAAAATGGCGGGATTGAATTGGGGGACGTTCGGTAAACTTCACCTACCGATTGACGTACAATGTAAAATTTGTAATATAACGTTGATAAAAAGCTACTTTATACCATCAATACATAATAACCTATTCACCTTTTCAGAATGTAAAGAACTATGGGTAATGTCATTGTTTGTACATCAAATTGAAAATAACCTTACGTCATTGGTTGGATTTCCATTGTTTAGTACGTTTTAACCAATCATGATGTTTGAGTTTTCGCTTTTGAAAAAAAATACCCAGAATGCTTTAAATTCTGAAAAGGTGAATACAGATTTGATATCTGAATATTAATAGAAAGAGATGAGTGGTTGACGTCAATGAGACAACGCTAAAACGAGACAAAAAAAAAAACCCAAAAAAACAAACAAACAACAATATTTCAAGCTCTAAATCGTCCTGACTCTTAACAGAAACTTTTAAGTTGTAAACAAATTTTAGAGGCTGTCAAAGATCTCCGAATAACAAAATACGTAACGATATGACATAAGACAATCATTAACGAAGTTCCTGACTTTGAATAAGTCCATGGTCATGTGACAGGGTTGATATAAAATATTTGCATTATTTTTCTACTTTCTTTCTAGTATCACCTAAATGGGTTTTTTTTTTATCACGACTTCAAAATAGTAAGTTGACGCTTAACTTGTTGAAGCACCAGGTCTTGCTTCTTTTGGAGTTTAATGCGATTATCTCAGCTTTCCATTTTTTACCTTGATTTGTATTTTCTTGGACATCGATAAACAGTTAACCATTAAAGTGTGGTAAAGAAACGTCTATCGTCCATTTCTAAGTCGTAATGATACAGGGGCCTCGGTGGCCGAGTGGTCTAAGTAGTTACTACTGTAATCACTAGCCAGTCAACACTGAGGTTGTGAGCTCGAACCCCGATCGTGCGGGTGCACTCGACTCCAATCTTAATTGACTAGGATTGTCAGTTTTCCTATCGAAGGTCGGAGGTTTTCTCCGGGCACTCCGGCTTCCTCCACCAATAAAAATTGGCCGCCACGAAATAGCCCAAAAGCGTTAAGCACCAAAAATCAAATCAAATCAAATCTTAATGATACATCGATACTGTAGCAGGGATTCGTCTAAATCACACAATGTCGTATTTAAAGGATTTACTTATTTATAAAGGATGTTCGCTCCTCTGTTTCAAAATAACAAGCTTTTTAAACGACTGTATACATTGATAGTCTATCTATAATAACGGAACTTAAAATGCAGAAAAAAACGAAAGGGCCATGTTTTTGCGTTTAAGATACAATCAATTGAAAATTTGGCGGGAAATGATTCTGTCTTGATTTTTTACATTTAACATTGGTACCTTTTTTTCGTTCAAAAACTATGAAAAGATAACAAGGATTTTTAAAAGATTTTCAAAAATGGCTTTTTTTAATGTAATAAAATAACGAAAAGAAAGTAGGGGTTAGCAGGAATTTTGTTGATTGGCACTTATGACTACATGGATAAAACTAGAGGATTCTGAATATCTGACAAAAACGTTAAAAACAAGAGTAGCGTACATCCTCGATTTTCTACGTACCATAAATATCCACTGTGACCAATTTTTCAGCCATTCCGAGACCACTCTCGACCTTACAATGGTAAACCCCACTGTCACTGGTTTGTGCGTTGGGTATGATAAGGCCGTCTATTGTTTGAGCTCCTCTGGACACTTCTGTGGTGGCTTTATTCTTGGTCCATTTCTTGGCTGGTGTTGGAGAACCGTGACCATGGCATGGTAAGAAAATCGTCGAACCTAATTTAGCTTTTACGTAAAACGTTTCGTCACCATCTATATATGGTTTAACTAGAAACAAAAAATGAAAAAAGTATTGAATATTATTATATGTTCTTTTGATATCATTTATTCTTAAAATGTTAATTCATTTCGAAAATGGACGTTTACAAAAACGTTAGAAAAATTGTTTTTTTCCACACCGTTGATACACGTTACACTTACAGGGGATAAAAGAGGCGGAAGATATGCCGAGGAAACCCGTCAAAACCCGGACAAAAAAAAAATAAAAAACGACAAAAAAACACAAACAACAGTATTCAAAACACAGCTTAGTCGCTTAGTCTGAGCCACACAAACCTCACCAAACACTTTAAAGAAACCATTAATAGCGTCATGCCTATTACATTTTAAGGTGAAGAGGGACAATTTGCAGTTACAGAATCTAATCAAAAGGACTATTGTGTATGTCTTTAAAATGTTTACTTTTAGCTATATAACTATGTCAGTGTGTTATGAAATGACTTTTGAACACTTTAAATATTGTAAACGCGCAAATGTTCTATAAATTGAAGCGCAAATGTCTATAAAAAAAGCACAAATATCCTATGAAAAAGCGCAAACGTCCCGCACCGCTTTTCTCGTAACCAATCAGAACGTCCAAGGCTCACATTTTTATAATACAACAAACACTTTATTTGGTACAGTGGTCGTTATCCATGCTACACATGATATTTCACATTTAATTCGCGTAATAATTCACGAACTTTAAAAGAAGAAGGGCGAAATGAGTGAATCTGTGATTTTCCATATTAGACTCGTAGGGTAAATGATAAATCATGGAGGTGACAATGTTATCTTTAGCACAATGTAACGTTTTTTATGTATAAACAAAACAAAATAGTTTAAACTGTTTTTATTTGTCTGTAAGCCTTTTCCAGACAATCGAATCATACAAAGTGACCTTTAACCTTGAAAACAATATGTGTTAGTCAAAGTGAATCCTTTGCCAAATCTTTGGTCTAAAATATATATTTTAGTCTTATGTGATAGCTGTTGAATGGTCAAAAAGATTACTTCAATTTTCTGGGCACCTGAACAACTTTGAGATAAAACAGTACTCTATAGGTCCCTTTTGGAACTTTAGGTGCGTGTGTATCTTGTAAGCATTCATGAGGCCGGTATGGATGGGGTTTATAGATTAGATAATAATGGCAAAAATTTAATAAATAGAGAAAAATAAGCAAAAAAAAGAAAAAAAGAAAAAAATAGAGAATAATGGGGTGAAAAAGTATAAAGAATAGCTTTAGAAAATAGAAGAATAAGGTAATATATAACAGGAATAAACGATGTGCAGAATAAAACAAATTATATAATTACAGATAAATTCAATAGCAAAGTAATTTCTATATGGATTTGCAAAATAAGCGTTTTTCTAGGAGATAATTTTTTTCCCCAAAATTATAAAGAAATGAAGGACCCCCATCCACACCCTCGTACATAAACTTACTTACCTAAATTATTACAACAACTCATAGAACTACCATCATTTCCTCTTTCACCTTTTAAACCCGGTTGACCTGAAGGCCCAACTACACCTTTTGGTCCTTCTTGACCTTGTAAACCTTGAGGTCCCGGTGGACCTTGAAGTCCAATTGTTCCAACTTCTCCCTAAAATATACCAATACACATTTGACTTTTTTGTAAAAATATGTAACATTCGAAGGTAAGAATATAACCGAGTAAGAAAGAGTTCATTATTATATTAAAATTAGTCGGTGTTTGAATTACTGCAGAAAACTTTTTCTTGTCCGAGCAGGTTTTGAAATAACATAATATAAGCCTCGTTGGATAGAAATCGACCTTATGCAAGTGCACGTATACATGTTTAGTATGACGTCCATTATCACTGAACTAGTATACATATTTGTTTAGGGGCCAGCTGAAGGATGCCTCCGGGTGCGGGAGTTTCTCGCTGCATTGAAGACCCATTGGTGGCCTTCGACTGTTGTCTGCTCTATGGTCGGGTTGTTGTCTCTTTGACACATTCCCCATTTCCATTCTCAATTTTAATTTTACATGTGTAAGACTTTAATTGATGTTAGAACATTCAAATACGAAACAAAAGACGAATTTGGGTCGGTTTTGTAGGGTTCTTATATCAACTCAATTTTTAAACAGTTATAGACTTTGCATAGAAATTTTTTTGACCCGAAATAAGTTAACAGATGTATTGACATTTATTTGCATAAGGTCGATTTCTATCCGACGCAGCTCATATTATATTGAACAGTATGGAGCACATGTTACCGATTTAATTTTTTGTGTTCTATTTGAATATCATAAAATGATGATACTTGATTTATGTGTGTCATCTATGTTCTTTTTTCGGATTTGTCATACAGGTATATGCATGAGTATAATATGACTAGAGAAACAACCATGATTAAAGACTTAAGGAGACCTATAGTTGCTATAAATTTGTACGTCATTAGGTCTCTGGTGGAGAGTCGTCTCATTGGCAATCATTTTATAATGATTACACTTAGATATGACAGACCAATACATGTTATAATACCACTATTCTGACGCAAGAACAACTAAAGCGTCTCTCCGGGAATTGCATGGTTTGAAATCTGTTACCTTTTGTCCTGGTCCTCCAGAGAGTCCTTGAAGTCCACTAGGACCCTGTGGACCCTGAATACCAGTTTCACCCTTCGGACCTAGAAAAAGATTAAAATATATCTTAACATACTCCTAATTATATTTATCCAACTATCATATTGACCGACTTTGACTAAATTTTACACTTGTTTCTGAAATATCTATAGAGTACCGTCTAGAGAACAACTATCCAGATTAAAAGAAACAAATATTAATTCTGCTAGTTTGCAATCCCAGATGACCCTCTATCTACCTTAAATATAAGTTCGGGGCATATACATGTTGAAAATATGCCGCACAGCTCTATAGTTTGACCTTTGAAAAAAAATAGTAGTGCATATGAACTTTCCCTTCTAGGATATAATTTTTTACGAACTCCATAGTAAAAGTGGTACAGTTTTAGCCGTAAAAGGAGTTCCTATGGGAAATTGCATTGTCTATATTTACAGAATTGCAACCTTAAATGCCGTAGGCTTCGGAAATAAAATACTTCTACAAATTTTACAGTCTTTATTTTGACTCGACCGTTGACAGTTTTACGACATGTTGCCATTGAGGCTACTACGTGAACATCGAAGTGGTGTGGTATGAGTGATATTTTTTAAAATCTATCTACCTTGAATTCCAGTGAGACCTGGTAGTCCAGCACCACCTTGTTGTCCGACTTCTCCTTTAGCTCCTTGTAGCCCTTGAATCCCCTGTTGACCAATTGTGCCTTGTCCACCTTTAGGGCCTTGAGGACCAAATGGACCAGGTTCTCCATCGCTTCCCTGTAGGGAAAAGTTATAACAAGCATTACCAGATCAAAAATGTTTAGGATCAACAATATTGCAAAACCTTTGAAGAACATAGCACACTCTTATATATCAGCACATATAATTTACGTATCTACGTTGTCCCTTCGATTCGGTATAGACAATTATGACATTTTGACTTCGTACACAACACGTACATACGATCTTTTCAAAAAAAGTTCTTTTATTTAATTAAACGGTTCTTTGATAAATCAGATTGCAGATTTATTTGCTGCAATTCATATAAAGCCTGCTCGTATAACGAAAAGGTTAAATATGTTAGATATACTAAATGGAACAGCGATGCTGTAAATTATCTCTTTGAAAACATCTACATGTATGTACGTTTCGGCAATAAAGTTTATCGACAGGTTTTAGGTATTCCTATTGGCACCAATTGCGAACCTTTAATGGTAAACTTGTTTGTGTTTCGTTAGGAATCACAGTTAATTGCAAAACTCCGTTAAAATCTATCTAAATTCCATTCAACTGATACATTTGATAACACTAATATTACCTTGATGATATGTTTGCTTTAACTACTCAAGAATTTTTAAATTAACATGCGGAAATTCACCCAAGGAAACTTACTTCATATAAATAAAATATATACATCAATAATTGTCTTCTTCTAGATTTGGATACTTAAGCATATCACGGGAAAAGTCTTATTTTTGTTCCTTATTGTTAATCTTCCATTTTTGAAAGGTCATGTTCCATTTGCCCTACTTACGGTTTGTATGCTTTCTAACCAGCTGATTGATTCTTGAGTCTGGGATAACATGATATATTTTTTAGTTATAACTGGTTTTGATCGAGCAAAGTGAGTACTTTTTGTACTCTGCCTTCTGTTTGTATGTTTGCTGTTTTTAAATTTGTGCTTCATACAAATTTAATAACTTAAAGTGGTACCAAACACCTTGACTAAAATTAATTTTGCTCGTTTATGTTTTTTTTATGTCTTTAGAACTTTGAAACAGCAGAATCAGTTTTACTTACGAAGGTGTGGGGTTCTCACCGGGCACTACGGCTTCACCCACCAATAAAACTGACCGCTATGAAATAGCACAACAGTGCTGAAAGCGGCGTTAACCACTAATCAACCAATCAATTTATTCAAACAGCAGATGAATGTCTCAGTCTTTTCAACTCTCTAACAATCAAAGACTTGCTGGTCAGAAAAATAATACAATATATAGAAGTGTGGCACGTGTTGTTTAGTCAGAAGGACAGTTATCCGTTTTGATATGGTTGTGCTTATTATTGGTTATAGGTTTTTACGCCTTCTAATCATGAAAATTAAAAACAAAATTAGAAATACCTTTATTCCTTGAATTCCTCGATCGCCCCTTTCACCCTTTTGACCCGGAAGTCCGTCTCTTCCAGTACTACCTGCTAATCCAGTAGACCCCTTTTCTCCAGTTTGACCTCGTTGACCTTGAAGTCCGTTCAAACCATTACTTCCTACCAAACCTGGTGTACCCTTTTCTCCCAATTCACCCTTTTGTCCCTGAGGTCCATCCCTACCACTGCTTCCAGGAGTTCCAGCAGTTCCTGTTTGTCCGATTTCACCTTTTTGACCCGGAAGTCCATCCCGTCCATTGCCTCCCGTCAGACCCGGTAATCCTTTGTCTCCAGATTCTCCTTTTTGTCCTTGATTTCCTGTTAATCCCTGAATTCCTTGATCGCCTTTAGCACCTGTCAGACCTCTGTAAAAGTTTTTACCAGTTTAAACACGTAGGTTAAGGCAGATAACTTTGAAAAATCACTGGAATGTTTGTATAAACCATTTTGATAAATATATTCTTAGCTTCTAAGTAACACGGATTATTTTAAATCACATTTATTTCTAAGAATTGAAATTTGTAGATCTTTGCGAAGATTCCGTATTTGGATTTTTAACAAATAAGTAATTGAATTGATTTAATCAACATTTACAGGAAACAATTGTGAGAGGAAATAATCCGTAGGTTCTCTTTGAGTGTGTGTACCTTGCTTAGAGACAAATAATTTCATCTGAAAAAATATAAGAGGTAAGTTGTCGATCTTCATCACAAAATTTCAAAAACACATGTTTCCCTTGATAAGACCCATCTGAGGAAAATATTTCTGAATGTTTCACTGGTTTGTCTTTTGTGTTACTTGTTACTGTTTTCTGAAACTTTTAATTTCAAGGTACTTACATTGGACCTTGTACTCCCTTTTCTCCCTGTGGTCCAAAAGGTCCAAATGGACCAGATTCCCCTTTGCTGCCAATATTTCCTTGAGGTCCCTGGTCTCCTTTTAATCCAGGTAGTCCTTGACTCCCAGTGACTCCAACTTCGCCTAGGAAAAGAACATTCTTGGGAACATTGTTTATTGGAAAAGAAGAGGGTCTACAGTAAACCTAGTTAAACACGTATTAAGACATACTTATTTTATCGATGGAACAGCGCTCCAGTTACTGTCTTCGTCGTCTTCATATTTACTGGAATATTTTCAACGTCTTGTTTCATTTGTCAAGCAGAAGAACATGAGTATAGATAAGAAGATGTGGTATGAGTGCCAATGAGACAATTCTCGAACCAAGTCACAATGCATATAAAGTTAACAATCATAGGTCAAAGTACGGCCTTCAACATGGAGCCTTGGCTCGCACCGAAACAGCAAGCTATAAAAGGGTCTCAAAACGACTAGTGTAAACCAAGTCCTAATCTATATAAAAAACGAGAAACAAGAAACAGCTATGAACCACACCAACAAACGACAGCCAATAAACAACATGCTCCTGACTTAGGACAGGTGCATAAAGATGCAACGGGTTTAATCGTAACAGTCCATTTTATGTATTTTGTTAACCTGGACTCCTGTGTTGATGCGTTCGTTTATGCAAAGATAAAGTAATTTATAGCTTATAATTAATTCAATTCTATAAGAACAAATATGGTTAAGGATGTTCGCTACTCTTGTTTTTGAATTTTTGTCAGATATTCAGAATCTTCTAATTTTATCCATGTTGTGCCGATACAAATTTTGCACGCTAACCCCTACTTTTCTTTTCATAATGTTATTACATATAGTTCTAAAAGCCATATTTGAAATCTTATAAAATCCGTGTTATTTTACATAGTTTTTGAAAGAAAAAAGGCGTCAATGTTAAATGTAAGAAAAATCTAGAGAGAATCATTTCCCGCCAAATTTTCAAGGGCGTATATATCGAAAACAAGGACACTGACCGTTCATTTTTTTATAATTTTTTAGTTCCTTTATTCATATATTAACACTTTATTAAAGTCTTTTTAAAAGCTTGTTATTTTGAAACAGAGTAAATAGCATCCTTAATATCATATAGAAGTGATCAGTTTACAAATAATTTTTGGCAGTTCCCTTTTTTCTCCACTTTAACTATGTACATTGGAATCAAATAGTCTTAAAATAAAACTGAGAAGATGTTATATGAATGCCAATAAGACAACTATCCACCAGAGTTCAAATGAAGTGGTAGCTAGCAATCATATGCCACCATACGGCCCGCAACAATGAAAAAAATCCATACTGTATAATCGGCTATAAAAGGTCCCGACATGAAAAATGTGAAACAACTCAAACGAGAAATCTAACAACCTAGTTCATAAAATAATTTACGAAAAACAAATATAACAGGCACGAACCAACAACAACCATTGGTACTACAGGCTCCTGATTTGGGACAGGACCATTAAGAAACCACTTTACCTAACTCCGGGCAGTGATGAAACATGATAACATATAAGAACACGCTGAAAAAATCAGTTGCAATTGGCTTAAGGATGTTCGGTACTCTGTTTCAAAATAACCAGCTTTTTAAAAGACTGTTATACATAAATAGTATATAAATAAAGGAACTAAAAAAACAGATAAAAATGAGGAGTCCTTGTCCTTGTTTTCGAGATATAAGCCCTTGAATATTTGGCGGGTAATGATTCTCACTAGATTTTTCATACATTTAATATTGGCACCTTTTATCTTTCAAAAGCTATGAAAAAATAACAAGGATTTTATAAGATTTTCAAATATGGCTTTTTAAACTATATGTAATAAAATCATAAAAAGAAAAGTAGGGGTTTGCAGGTAAAATGTTTATTGGCACTACATGGATAAAAGCAGAGGATTCCGAATATCTGGCAAAAATTCAAAAACTAGAGGAGCAAACATCCTTAACTCAAAATATCGGTACGAAGCACAAACATCGCGTTTACTGAAAACCAATTATAACTATTAAATAAATCATGTTCTTCAGACTAAAGTATCAGTCCGTACCCATCTAACATATTTAGTGTTTAGTTTAAACATATTGTATTTGCTAAATTAAAGCAAAATGGATTAGACATAAGTAAATCACACTTATAAATTCTTCTCCATATTACAATATAAATAAATACAATAATAGTATAATGCGCATGCATGTAAAGCAAACAATTTATAGAATATAATACGAGCTATTAAAGGTAAAAAAGACGAGCAAAAAAAAAAGGGGGGGAGTTTGAAAAGTTATATAATTCTGGGGTGGTGACGTGAGTGTTGATGTATGATGTCCTATGTCAGCATCAATATCGCTTTATGAAGGTACAAGAAATCTGTTTGACTTTTTGATGAAATTTTGAACTTGTTCGAAAATTTGAATATTTTGTTCGTTCGACAGTTACATGTACCAGTTTCGGCAAATTAAATATTTTTTTTTTTCTAAAACAAAGTTTTCGGAAAGCCAGTTCAGATTATTGAGTATGGTTATTCTACAAGAAGTGTATTTTGGACAAACGAAGAAGTAATGATGAACATCCTCAATATCTGATCCACATTGGCAAGAAGGATCATTTATAATGTTCGCTCGAAAAAGGTCATAGTTTACGAATGAAGCGGAACATCACAATTGCGTTAAGATATTATTCAATTTTCTCGGGCCGTACAAATAAAAGGTTTCAACTTTACTTAGTAGTTTTTCAATTATTTCTTAAATTAAGAAATAGAGTCGAAAGCTGCGAATTTTTGGATCAAGTTTATTCCACTTAAGTATTGTGGAGGGAATAAACGATTTAGTAGTAAGGGAAAGTCTACAAAATGGAACAATGATGTCAAGACCATTTTACAACAGATAGTTGGTTGGACTTTGTACACATGGAGGTACAAGATTACAAAGGTACTCTGGTGCATGCGCGTATTTAGTGTAAAGACGTCATAAACAGTCGGAGAAACGCATGCTCGTGTAGCCTACAAGAGAAATAATTTGAAGAACTTCAGAAAATGTCTTTCAACCAACTAAATATCATATTTTGGATAGGAGAAAATATCAAATGTACAAGAAAGAAAACAGCTGTCAACAAAAGTACTGTCAAAGATTTAGAATGAATATAGATACTATTTGAAGAACTGTTTTATTCAAACACCGAAACTGGTACCGTCATTTTGGAATAGTGTGCTTTGCTCTTTCAATGGGTGTTTAACTTACTCTACAACAAAGTCATTCTTTATTTATATTGAAAAAAATATATATCATTTATTCAGAAGGTCCAAATGACGGATCGGGGGAAGGAAACGGAAAGGGAATGAGGAGGTGCGGGGATCTTAATGTAAAAGTTTTGCATATATTTACTTTTTGTCTTAAGACTGACATTGAAATAATGTTTATCCAAAATCATATGTTGATAGGTTTAGGCGAAAACTAGAAAGGAATTCACCTTTTGAAAAATGCAGGATCCACCATAAGTCAAAATTGACTACTTCGTAGTTTTCCGTACCAGCTAGAAGACTGTTGTACACCAATATTTACTCGCATATTTAGGACCTAAAGTTGTATCAAAATAAAACACGCCCACTGACCTAATATCAAATATACAGGGTCTCCACGTGTTTGCTTTTAACCAATGATATTCCTATAAATGTACAGGAGGAAAGATAATAATAGGTACCTTTAAGTCCGGAAGGTCCCTGTAAACCAGTGGTCCCTGGTTCACCTTTGAACCCTGTCAATCCTTGGAGTCCTTTTATGCCCTGTGTACCATTGTCACCTTTCAGACCTTGAAGTCCATTCTGTCCGGGATCGCCCTTTGATCCTGTATAACCTAACGGTCCGAATTCTCCCTTTTGTCCCGGACCACCAGAATCCCCTTTAGGACCTAATTCACCTGTAATAAAATTGAAGTATTTATGATGAGATAAAGGTTTAAAAAGAGAGGCGAAAGGTATCAAAGGAACATTCAATGTCATAAGTCGAAAATAAACTGACAGCAACATTGCAATGAAAAGAAATAGACCAAATTATATAAAAGACAAACAACAGTTCAATTATTCCACACACTTTGCACAGTAGACCCCGTTCACACTAGGACATTTATATCGATTTAAACTAGATCGGTTCACTTTAGATCGGTTTAAGGACCAATGTGAACGCTTTGAATCGATCTTTAATCGGTCTAAACTAAAACACTTTGGTTGAATAGATAGGGAATTTGAATTGGTGGTCTGACACCTCTGAGTGAGAACGCTATTTTCATATTTTTATAAGAAGAAAAGCAGGTTAATTTTGATTCAGTACTGTAAGAATAAAAGCACAATTATCATAAAGTATTGTCATATTTCTTTTAGATGTAAGAAACGAAGGGAACAGCAGGTTGTAAAGATTCTGTTTCAAAAGGTATATAGTCTAAGATCCTAAATTCCATGTATGACGAAACTTGCTCTATCATCATAGTTTGTTGTCCTAAATAGATTAGAATATACAACGGTTTCCGAATGTCCTTTCTGTCATCGATTCTATTCTTTATTCTTAGACCATTTTTCCTATAGTATTGATTGGTCCATTATTCTCTAATCTGTAATTTTTATCCAGACCCTCATATGGGTTTATAGGTACAGTTTGTGTATAGTCACGAAGGCCTTACATTGGCCCTGAAAACTAAACTTTGTAATACCACATGTAAAAACCTTATTTTTTGGTTCTTAAATGCAAATTTAGATAAACTCGACTGCTACTTGTTTTAACATAGTTGACAGCTTCATAAGTATCATAATTTACACGTTTTTAGCTAAATTACATGTACCTGTTTTAACGCATTTTAGACCCCGTTCACACTAGGACATTTAGATCGATTTAAACAGGATCGGTTCAATTTAGATCGATTTAAGGGCCAATGTGAACGCGTTGAATCGATCTCCAATCGGTCTAAACTAAATAAAATATCAAAAGAGGTAGTTTAGTTTGAATCGATCTAAAGTAAACCGATCTAACTTTAAATGTGAACGCAAAGACCGATTTAAACTAGTACGATGGAATCGAAAATAATTTTAAACGCATGTATAGCGGCAAAACTACACGTGTAATAACATAACATCCCTGTATATATCAGTGGTTCGTTGTTTAACCCATATTTCTCTGTTAACAGACCTTTGTGTACATGCAAGTAAAAGCAAACGGAAAAAAGGTTGTCTTCGCCGTAGCATAAATTTTCGAAATCTGTGTCTTTTTTTCTTCTGTTGATTTTTTCTTTTCAGGAACCGCAGCATTTCTTCATGTTGTAACTTCCTTGCTACAGTTTTTTGTTTCAAAATTAATAAAAACTGCAAAAACACCAGTATGAAAATTTGAACTTGTGATTCAAGAGAAACAATAATTTCATCCATTTTTTTTCAAGTGTGTGTTTCAGTGTATTAACACATAAATTTGATTAATTATTTCTATTTATACACAATGTTTACAGTTTTACGGGTAATTAGGCCAGATCGACTGCATTTTTACTTGTAGTATGAACACAGTGGTTCAGATTAGACCGATATAGAGATCATTATGATTAAAGATACTGTGAACGCTAACCTGTTTAATTTAGATCGATTAAAAAAAATGCTAGTGTAAACGGGGTCAAAATAGTGCAATTTTCGAAATATTTCAAGCTGCTAGTCTTACAAGTCATATAGACCAATAAGCCACAAGACTTGTTCACGGTGCAGGTGGTATACATACAAAGTAATCATTCTTTCAAGAAATATTTTAATGCTCTTCCATTCTTAAGGAACAGTGTAACGTTCATTTTGATTTGATAACATAACACATTACAGGGCATTGTATGCTTTAGACATGCTTCATTCAGTTGTTTTGGATTGGAAATAACAGTTATGTGCAGTGTATGGCCAAAAGGTTTCGTCGCCTATTTTATTATTATTTTTTGCTATATATTAATTCTAATCAAGTTGCAGTAAAACAAATGTTCAATGCTAATTCAAGTTGGTATTATATAAGTATTTCTAGAATAAATTTTATCAGGTTAGGTCGAGTATAAAGGTTTGATGAGCAAAAGCTAGCATTAAAACAAAAGGAAACGAAATAGATCATTTGGGAGATTGTTTTGCGTATATTTTACCTTTCAATCCAGGTGTACCAGAACTTCCGAGATCTCCTTTCTGTCCGAGGTCACCCTTATCTCCTTTTGGTCCTACCAACAACAAAAGAAATATGCAATGAAAACAAAAGGCAGTGATTTAATAACGAGAACCAAATTAAGATCGCAATGAAATTGGGACAATATATAATAAACTCAGTATAAGTAGAAGTGTTATCGTTTATCAGCAAAAGTTCAGATTTTGGCAATTTAATCAGAAAAAAAGACAAGATAGCACAACGATTCAGTTTGCCATACAAAAGCAGTGATTAAATGGATGACAGAAAGATATACTCAATTAATATTTCATTCCAAATCCTAAACTACAAAACATCTTCTGAAAGTTTTACTGCATCTGGAAAATTTGAGATAATGACTCTGTTCATGTTTTATCAAAACTAATATTATTGATCTTTATAGAAAAAGAGAAAAGATAAATATTTATTTATTACTTCTATGTAAATCAGATGTAATCATCTCATATTTTTGGGTGGCTGACACAATGAACTGATTTAGAATTTTAGACATTATGTTTTGTATCATTCTTCACACATCAACATGTAAACATTGGATTTCTTTGTGATAATCTTAATCTCAGAGAAGGAAAAGATTTATAGAGTTTGAATAGTAATTTGTTTATTGTATGCGCATAGCTATTCGTAGAAACCATTTCGCTATTCTTTTTTGATCTTTTGAAAATTGATTGGAATGCCTATATATGTCACAAATATAATGAAGTGGAAAATAGAGGCCAATGAAAAATCTAGACAGATTTATTTCCCGCCAAATTTTTAATTGTGGCTTATATATATAAAAAAAAACAACAAGGAGACCAACTTTTCATTTATTTCTGCTTTTTGAGTTCTGTTACTTTAAAATTTTAAAAAGCATGTTATTTTAAAACAAAGGACTTAGGAGCGAACATTCTCAAACACAAGACGGTATGTTTTGTCAATGTTTGTATGGTAAATAATTAAATGTTCATTCTGCTCCGTTTTTTGTTGTTTTTTTTTTGTTGTTGTTTTTTTTTGGGGGGGGTGGGTGGGGGCGGGGGTTGGGGGGATGTTTACTTATTTATCCATTCTGTCAAACGCCGTTTCATTGAGATAGAAAAAAAAACATACCTGTCTGGCATACAGTAGTATTTGATGTACAGCGTTGAGATATAAGTTGACTCTGGAAAAATAATATGCATCGTAATATATAAAATATATCACAGCGAAGGTACATATACATGTAGCACAGCGAAGGTATAACTTATAAAACGAAGCACAGCGAAGGTATAACATATAAAACGAAGCACAGCGAAGGTATATTATGTAAATTGTAGCCCAGCGAAGGTATATCATGTACAATGTAGCCCAGCGAAGATATATCATGTAAATGTAGCCCAGCGAAGGTATATCATATAAAATGTAGTACAGGAAAGGTACATATAAAATGTAGCCCAGCAAAGGTATATCATGTAAAATGTAGCCCAGCGAAGATATATCATGTAAAATGTAGCCCAGCGAAGGTATATCATATAAAATGTAGCACAGCAAGGTATAATATATAAAATATAGCACAGCGAAGGAATAACATATAAAATATAGCACAGCGAAGGTATAACATATAAAATATAGCACAGCGATGGTATAACATATAAAATATAGTACAGCGAAGGTATAACATATAAAATATAGCACAGCAAAGGTATAACATATAAAATGTAGCACAGCGAAGGTATAACGTATAAAATATAGCACAGCGAAAGTATAACATATAAAATGTAGCCCAGCGAAGATATATCATATAAAATGTAGCACAGCGAAGGAATAACATATAAAATATAGCACACCGAAGGTATAACATATAAAATATAGCACACCGAAGGTATAACATATAAAATATAGCACAGCGATGGTGTAACATATAAAATATAGCACAGCAAAGGTATAACATATAAAATATAGCACAGCAAAGGTATAACATATAACATGTAGCACAGCGAAGGTATAACATATAAAATATAGGACAGCGAAAGTATAACATATAAAATGTAGCCCAGCGAAGATATATCATGTAAAATGTAGCCCAGCGAAGGTATATCATATAAAATGTAGCATAGCGAAGGTACATATAAAATATAGCACAGCGGAGGTACATATAAAATATAGCACAGCGAAGGTATAAAATATAAAATATAGAACAGCGAAGGTATAACATACAAAATATAGAACACCGAAGGTATAACTTATAAAATGTAGCATAGTGAAGGTATACATGTAACATATAAAACGTAGCACAGCAAAGGTATAACATATAAAATGTAGCACAGCGAAGGTATAACATATACAATGTAGCCCAGCGAAGGTATAACATATAAAATGAAGCCCAGCGATGGTGTAACATATAAAATGTAGCACAGCGAAGGTATAACATATAAAATGTAGCACAGCGAAGGTATAACATATACAATGTAGCCCAGCGAAGGTATAACATATACATATAAAATGTAGCACAGCGAACTTCAAGGTATAACATATAAAATGTAGCACAGCGAAGGTATAACATATACAATGTAGCCCAGCGAAGGTATAACATATACAATGTAGCCTAGCGAAGGTATAACATATAAAATGTAGCCCAGCAAAGATATATAATGTAAAATGTAGCCCAGCGAAGGTATATCATATAAAATGAAGCACAGCGAAGGTACATATAAAATATAGCACAGCGAAGGTACATATAAAATATAGCACAGCGAAGGTATAACATATAAAATATAGCACAGCGAAGGTATAACTTATAAAATGTAGCACAATGAAGGTATACATGTTACATATAAAATGTATCACAGTGAAGGTATACATGTAACATATAAAATGTAGCCTAGCGAAGGTATAACATATAAAACGTAGCCCAGCGAAGGTATAACATATAAAATGTAGCCCAGCGATGGTATAACATATAAAACGTAGCCCAGCGAAGGTATCACATATAAAATGTAGCACAGCGAAGGTATAACATATAAAATGAAGCCCAGCGAAGGTATAACATATAAAATGTAGCACAGCGAAGGTATAACATATAAAATGTAGCACAGCGAAGGTATAACATATAAAATGTAGCCTAGCGAAGGTATAACTTATAAAATGTAGCCCAGCGAAGGTATAATATATCAAATGTAGCCCAGCGATGGTATAACATATAAAACGTAGCCCAGCGAAGGTATAACATATAAAATATAGCACAGTGAAGGTATAACATATAAAATGTAGCCTAGCGAAGGTATAACATATAAAATGTAGCCCAGCGAAGATATATAATGTAAAATGTAGCCCAGCGAAGGTATATCATATAAAATGTAGCACAGCGAAGGTACATATAAAATATAGCACAGCGAAGGTACATATAAAATATAGCACAGCGAAGGTATAACATATAAAATATAGCACAGCGAAGGTATAACTTATAAAATGTAACACAATGAAGGTAAACATGTTACATATAAAATGTAGCACAGTGAAGGTATACATGTAACATATACAATGTAGCCCAGCGAAGGTATAACATATAAAATGTAGCCCAGCGAAGGTATTACATATAAAATGTAGCCCAGCGATAGTATAACATATAAAACGTAGCCCAGTGAAGGTATAATATATAAAATGTAGCCCATCGAAGGTATAACATATAAAATGTAGCCCAGCGAAGGTATAACATATAAAATGTAGCCCAGCGCAGCTATAACATAAAACTTAGCGCAGCGAAGATATAACATACTTAATATAGCCCAGCGAAGGTACAATGTATAACGAAATTTGCCAGACAAGAAACTAAATGTTCATTTCAACATAGTTATATAAAAATCAATCTCTTTATTTCGAGCTGCGTGCTGGAAAGAAACATTTCGTTTTCTCTATATTTGAATATCTAAAGTATCCTCAATATCTAAGAAAACAAAATATGGCAAAATCATAAAATATCACCACATATTGCAAACCATATGCGACGGTCTGGATTGGTGATCCTTCATTTCAGTATTCTTTCATCTTTTAGGTCATTTTTCTCCATTCTTTATATGTTTCTCGCTATTCTCTATTCTTTATTTTTTGCCCTATTTTTCTCTATTCTTTATTTTTTATATGCAGTCATTCTATCTACATATACTAGTCACAAGGATTTTATGAAGTTACCAGAGTTAACCCTATTAAGTTAATTTAAGCCTACATGTAGTACTGAACTTCAACTTCATCTAATACATGTATTTACGATTTGCTGAGTACATTTAAAATAAATCGTAGTTTTGTTTACAATTTCATATTTAAATTCTCTTTCTCCATCATGTGTTCAAAAATGGATTTTATTAATTCACCCAACCGGCTCATCATCTTTATCGGATGCATTTATTTCTATTTGGTTTTGTTTAAGTTTTGACCGAAAAAAATCAAACTAAAAATTATTGCCAAAGTAAGTAAGGTCACCGTATTTTACCGATAGTAAAATCTCGTTAAGAGATGCATTATAATATAACCTTAGTATGCTAATGAGTTCTATAAAAATAACTGTATTTTAAAGATTTAAACAATATTAATTTCGCCAGACAAACTAGCTTTATCAGGCGCGGGCAGCCGTCAAGGTGAGATCGGAGGATGATAAGATTTTTTCCAAGTTTGATGCTGTGATAGAATATTCATATATAGGATTATGTATGCAATCATCTCTTGCCCTTCCAGAGGACCTGATATCTCCCCAGTTTTTGGTAGGGTTCGTGTTGCTCAATCTTTGGTTTTCTATGTTGCGTTTTGTGTACTGTTGTTTGTCTGTTTGTCTTTTTCTTTTTTAAACATGGCATTGTCAATAGACATAAGAAGATGTGGTATGAGTGCCAATGAGACAACTCTCCATCCAAGTCAAAATTTATAAAAGTAAACCATTATAGGTCAAAGTACGGTCTTCAACACGGAGCCTTGGCTCACACCGAACAGCAAGCTATAAAGGGCCCCAAAAATCATAGTGTAAAACCATTCAAACGGGAAAACCAACAGTCTAATCTATATAAAAAACGAGAAACGAGAAACAGCTTATTTTCGACTTATGAGTTTGAAAGTCCCTTTGATATTTTTCGCCTCTCTTTTACTCCGGTTAAAAAGCCTACCGCAATGACTGATATTTGTCCAATCTCTGTGGGACTTAATGTTGGTCCAGCTTGTCGTTTACTTCTATCCTGAAATGAAAAATAAAAAGTTAGATACATTTTTTTCTTCTTCTGTTAATGGTCGAGATTTTGCAATGTCACTAACTGTAAAATACCAACTATTTGAAGATGTGCAACATTTCGCCTGTATACATTCCATATAGCATTGATTAGATTAGATTAGATAGGCCACTCGAACAGTGAATTTTACATGCTTAAAAACTTGATAGAATAATATATATCGAATGCTAAGTGTATGCATATTGTACGATAGAAACCAGAAATAACTGATCTGAAAAGGTAATTGCCAGGCCGAAAGATCTACACACATGATTATTCAACTTTTAAATCAAGAATCCAGAAACATCTCATACTAAAAGATATTGGAAAAACAACCATTTAATTGCAATAAATAACATCCTTAACAAGTCATATATATTCACAATGCTAGAAAAATATCGCTCTCTATCTCTCTTTATTATTGTTCAGTACAAAAGTTCCCATCACTTCGAAATTGACCTAACATTTCTAATCTGGTCAACTATTTATAGACAGTGTCAGTATTGATAAACATCATAAAAGTATTTATATACAGATATAGTGAACTGTTCTGATAACGTGAAACTCTATAAGTAAGGTCACATGTCATTCAGGACATTTGGATTTTATTGACGCGTTGGTTTAATTTTGTTGTGTTTTCATGTTTATATTTAAAAAGAATAGTACTTCCTCCATAGTATACAATTTGAATTATGCATATCGTGCAAACTTCAGTATGTAAGTCGAAAATTAATGTGAAACAAACCAACCTATTACTAACCACACTGATATGTGTCCACACTTTAAAAAAAAATGATAATTACATGGCTTTACATGTAAATAGATGTCTTGAGATCTTGGTTGGACGTCAGTGATAGACAGCAACAAAACGATTAAAAAACAAGTAGCGGTCAATATAAGGTTTTTAATATGAAGATTACACTTTATAAATTTGACACATCCGAAGAGCTTTTCAATTAATAATAGAACCATTTCTATATTAGAGTGTCAAGCTCTAAATAGTTGTGAGTCTAAAAAGGTCTGAGTGAAGTAACAGACCCTAAATCAGTCATCAATACCAACCTGCCATAAATAAAAGCAAGAAAACAAGACAAGCACTAACAAGATTCTTAGCTTCTTTTTCACCGTTCCAAATGTTTGCCCTGCCAAATGCTTCCCTTTACTGCAGCAGGAATTATGCAAGTTATATGTTATCCATTTGCGCATGCGTATTTAGCTCATCACTTACAATTAACCGCTTTAATAAAATTTGCTAAGCAACCTTGTATGGTAACACAAAATAATTGTAATAGTGATGATGATTATAATAAAACATTGATCAACCTATAATTGCAAATATATAATATGAGTGTTATTATATAAATACCTTTGGTTCCTCGATAACAAGGTTGAGACCAGACTCCAATTTAAGCATTTGCACTTCTCGTTTTAATTCCAAAATCTCGTACAGCTCGTACATTGATAGTCCGCCTATGCACAAAATTATAAAACATAAACCGAATATCGGCCATTTTGGACCGGATCTGGTCGAGCTCTCTTCCAGTGATCTGTCACCTTTCATTGTTCGGTTGGACTTGTTCACATTATAGTACAATGTTGGTCAAGAATATAAGTGACATAGATAAGAGGTTTCATAGTCTTATCTTTAATTTCGTTTCATAATTAAACGTGTGAAAATTGATGGAATCGGATAAGGATATAGAATATAGTGAGGGTCTAGATAGGGGGTCATTCATTCTTGTATTCTTTAATTTTATAAGTAATTTTTCTCTAATATTTATAATTTTGGCCATTATTCTCTACTTTTGTATTTTAGCACCCAATTTTTCTCTATTCTGTATTTGTTTTTTCATCCATTTATTCTGCATTTTTCCCTCATTATTCTCTATTCTGTAAACCCCATTCAGACCCTCACATAGGGCATCGACTCCATGATCGAGGGTCTGTAAAGTGGTCCTTCATTTTTGTTGTCTTTAAATTTTTAGGGCATTTTTCTTTATCTTATAAAATAACACTTATTCTGTAAAATTCTCATGAAAATGATTGTATTATTATTTTGTCTGCAATTAAATGATTTCTTAATTCTGTATATCGTTCATTTGTGTGATCAGTATTGTGTTGACTTTTTTTACATAAATTGTCATCCTGCCTTTTTTTGACAAGTTTGCTCATCATGTCTTTTTTTTTTACTCAAAACTCCTGTCCTGTTTTTTTTCTTCAAATTTCTAGCCCCCCCTAAAAATCAAATGGTATCTCCCTAAAGGCAATCAGTACTATAAAGAGTTTAATCACTATTTTGGCAACATTTGATTTATTTGTAGATCTTGTCTTTTTGATCATTTTTGTTATTTAAAGTTTCTATATATCTTTCATAATTTTAAGATAAAAGGCAAAAACATCAAAAAATGGCAAAAAAAAAGAAAAAAGACATTAAAAGAGCACAAACGTCGATAGCGAGTCGACTTACGATTTCGACCATTCGACCTCGTTGTAGATCTCGTCTCGCTGGTAATATTTGCTATCAAAAGTTTCTCTATGTCTATTATAATTTTGAAGACAATATGCAAAAATGAAACAAATGGTAAAATACACAAGATTTTCTCTACTTAAAGCGTTTTTCATAATGGACAACACTTGTATTTTATCCCTAAGTTCTATTTAGGCATGTCGGCTATCTTGGTTGGTAAGCAGGGTTATCGGACACATTTTTTAGACTAGATACCCAAATGATAATTGTGGCCAAGTTTAACCAAAACTGTCAGACGACATCTTATGGGATTTTTTTTTGGGTTAAACTTAGCCCAGTAGTTTCATGGGAGAAGATTTCTGTAAACCTTAACGACGACAGACGCTAGACGCCAAGTGACGAGACCAGTTAGTTAGAAAAAAGAACTCTCAAAGTATACCACTACTAAAGACTAAGGCAGGGCTAACAGCAGAAAACAACCGTGACAGAGCAGAAGAATTGAACGAACACTTCACAAGTGTATCTACTAATAAGTTATCAACTGATGAACACTTCAAAAGTGTATCTACTAGTAAGTTATCAACTGATGAACACTTCACAAGTGTATCTACTAGTAAGTTATCAACTGATGAACACTTCACAAGTGTATCTACTAGTAAGTTATCAACTGATGAACACTTCACAAGTGTATCTACTAATAAGTTATCAACTGATGAACACTTCACAAGTATATCTACTAATAAGTTATCAACTGATGAACACTTCACAAGTGTATCTACTAATAAGTTATCAACTGAAGATGTACCACTAAATAAATTATTATATCCAAAGTTAAAAGACATAGGCATAATTTAAGTAGGGATGAGAAAAAAATAAGTACATGAACTCCTTTACTCAAAAAGCATGTCGAAATAAGCATAAATATAAAAAAAATCGAATGAAGTAGCCCCTATCATAAAGGAACGACCATTTAACTTTAAGGGGTGATTATGGTTTTTTCCGTAAATAGCAAAATTGATCAATGATTGAACAAACAAAAAAAACATCGATAAAGGACATCAAACAGATATATTTATATTACATTTTGAAAAGCCTTCGACACAGTCCCATATGAATTACATTTGTACTTTAATCGAAATTAAACAGCTGCGGGATATCAAGTAAAACACTATGTTGGAATGACTCATTCCTATGCTACCGCAAGCAAAGAGTCGTGACAAATTGGACAAAATTAAACTTCAGTGATTCCCTAAATAATCAACCAAATTTTTCCCACAAAAGGGGGGCACGGGCCCTTGGAAAACCCTCTAAATCCGCCTCTGGTGATGTGATTGCCAATGAGAAAACTCTCCACAAGAGACCAAATGACACAGAAATTATCAATTATAGGTCACAATACGGCCTTCAACAATGAGCAAATCCCATACCGCATAGTCAGCTATATAAGGCCCCGAAATAACAAATGTTAAACAATTCAAACGAGAAAACTAACGGCATAATGTATGTACAAAATAATAAATCAAATCCAAATAAGTTCCATACCAACAAACGACTTCCACTGAATTACAGGCTCCTGACTTCGGACAGGCACATACAGAATGTGGTGGGGTTTAGCTCGAATGTAGGCGCCAATCCCCCCCTAACCTGGGACAGAGATGTAACAATACAACATAAGAATAAACTATAAAAATCAATTAAAAAGTGCTTAACTCAGCAGATGGATACAAATAGAAATATGTATAACAAAAGCACTGAGTGAACGTGGACAGGTACTTATACATCCCCACAACACTAAGATAATAAGGGAGCAACCATTTAACTTCAGGGGGTGTTTATTGAACATTTTTGTTTTAGTTTTTCGACGCTATCAATCAAATTATTTTAAAAAAAATTAACACTATAAGGTATGGGGGAAATCTGTATTCAGAATATTTTTTTTTGTCATCTGCTCGACCACAATATTTTTTTTTTCCATCAAATTGGGGATCCGAGTTTTTTTTTTCAAGAAAAAACCATACCCCTCCTAATTGAAGTTGAATGGTCGTTCCCTTAGTACAGATCTGAGATCTGAAATCCTATGATATGACTACGGCTAATTTGAAAAGGGCATCGCGCAAATTGTATGTTCTGTTTTCCCGCCAATTCTTTTACACACGTCAGCAATTCGTATTTATTGATTTTAAAGTCTAGAAGAGTAGATGTTGAAGGTTTTCCGACATTAATACCAGCAACGTACTTCAGTTTTGTAATCGGGTGAGAAAGGCTTTTGTATAGTGAGTGATTGTGTCAAATGTAGCATAAAAATAGATTTTATTCAAGTTTCTATGTCCATTTCCCAGTTTTCCATATATGTTGTCCACACTTGATTGTCCATTCGAGTTTCTTTTACGTTTTCTTTCCTTCATACAGAAAAAGATAGCAGGAACTTTACCAATGCATAATAGAACCACAATATATACAACACCACTAACCATAATTCAAAGCAATTTGAAAAGAAGCAGTGAAAAACTGACAAAAACAATTTCCCCAAAAAATTATTTACTCTACAAACTATAATCGAGTCAAATGTTCAATGTTTATGCCGAATATAGATTTTTTTGTTTTTTTGGGTTACTGTCTTATTGAAGTTTATCCCGAATCTCTTTGTATTGAAATTATTATTTTTTTTCGGGGGAGGGGGGGGGGGGGGGACTATAATAATTCGCATGAACGTCGTACATTTTCTGTCTTACGTGCAAGAGTAGAGTATACAATAAATGAACTAATGGATCAATTGCAAGTTCTATACGCAATTAAACTTCGCACAATTATATAGATATGATGTGGTATGAGTGCCAATGAGACAACTCTCCATCCAAGTCACAATTTATAAAAGTAAACCATTATAGGTCAACGTACGGTCTTCAAAACGGAGCCTTGGCTCACACCGAACAACAAGCTATAAAGGGCTCCAAAAATGACTAGTGTAGAACCATTTAAACGGGAAAACAAACGGTCTAATCTATATAAAAAACGAGAAACGAGAAACACTTATGAACCACATCAACAAACGACAACTACTGAACATCAGGTTCCTGACTTATGACAGATGTAAACAAATGCACGTTTTAATAGGTACCAACCTTCACCCTTACCTGAAACAATAGTGTAACATCACAACATAGAAAGACACATTTTATACTAAATAGAAAATAGAAAATAATATGTATTTTCATGTTGATGATCCAATACTTAGATTGTCAGATCATGCTAAAGTTTCTGTATAAGATTATTGGCTTCAGTTCAAAATAATTGTTTAAAAGAGAATTTGGATAATTTCCCTATGAAATTCAAATGGGAAACTATGTCTCCAGAATTATTTTTAAATGCTCTTAAGTCTATTGAGATAAAAGTCAAAATTCAAGATTTTGAAAATATTCAAACTCAGTCTCAAAGTGAAGTGGACGCTGCATTACATTCGTTACATGATATTTTAGAAATGGCAGCAAATAAATCATTAAAAAGGAAAACACAATCCAGACGTAACGGCATTATAAGTCTAAGCCGTGGCTTGATAAAGGGTTCAGTACTATACATAAAGGATTAGATCATAAAAGTCTAATGCTAGCAAAATATCCAAAAGATCCAATTATACGAGGAAATTTCGTAAATTATATGGTAAAAAATGTAAGTTACAGTATAGACAATATAAGTTGGATATTATTCAAAAGTTGGATAATTTATTCGAAAAAAATCAATCAAAATACTGGGAACTTTTAAACAAATTAAAATATGAAGATGAAAATAAATTGTCAAGTAATAGTACAATTTCAGCTGATGAGTGGTTTAAACATTTTCAAGAATTAAATACAGTCTCTTCAAAATGTCAATCAAAAATACTAGAGTTTAAGAATATGCTTTGTACACTTGAGTTAGATTATAAAATTACAGAGAAAGAAGTGACAAAGACAATACATGCATTAACAAATGGTAAATCTACTGGATTAGATTGTATTTCAAACGAAATGCTCAAATGTAGTGAGTTAATTTTGCTTCCATGTTATGTAAAACTATTGAATAGTATATTGTGCACTGGTTCTTATCCAAAACATTGGAAAACAGGGTATATTATACCAATATTTAAATCAGGTTCAAAATATGACCCTTCTGATTATAGAGGTATTCCTATTATAAGTTGTATTGGAAAATTGTTTAATTCCATTCTTAATAATAAATTTGATAGTTATTTGACTAAGTTTAATGTAATTTCTGAATCACAGATTAGTTTTCAAAAATCAGGAACAGTAGATCATATGTTTATTTTGAGGACCCTAATTGAAAAGTGTATAGCAAACAAAACTTACTTATACACATGTTTTGTAGATTTTAGGAAAGCTTTTGATTCTGTAGTGCATGAAGCCTTGTTGTTAAAATTCCAAAACATTGGGATAGGGGGTTATTTTTATAATATTATTAAGAACATGTATAATAATATTTTTTTAAAAGTTAGATTAAATGATAAATTCACAGATAGATTTAAAGCTAACATTGGAGTTAGAGAAGGGGATAATCTAAGTCCCAATCTTTTCAAGCTATTTGTTAATGATTTGCCGTGTATTTTTGATGAACTGTGTACCAGCTGAAATAGGAAGTACACAACTTAATTGTTTAATGTATGCCGATGATGTTGTGCTTCTTTCTACTAGTCAAACAGGTTTGAGTAGATGTTTAAATAAATATGAAGAATATTGTAAAAGTTGGAGTATTCAGGTTAATCTTAAGAAGACAAAAATGTAATTTTTAACAAAGGTGGTAAAATGATTAAAAGTAACTTTTTTTTTATTGGTGAACCAATTGAAAAAGTTAGAAATTATAAATATCTGGGTGTTTTTTTTTTTTTGCTTCCGGAAGTTTTTCTACAGCTAGATATGATTTGTATCAAAGGGGGTTTAAAGCTTTTTTCAAGTTAAAAAGTACTTTCGGTGACAACATCCCGAAAATTGATAGTTGTTTACATATCTTTGACCACACAATAAAGCCAATTTTAATATATGGCTCAGAAATTTGGGGAACTTGTACTTTTAATTTTTTTAAAATGTCAAACAAACAACCCCTTTGATATTGAGAAAAAAATTAGTAAGTTTGATTGCGAGAACTTAAGTTTAAAGTTCTACAAGTATATTTTCGGGGTAAATAAAAAGTCATCTAATTTACCTGTTATGGGAGAGTTAGGTCGTACTCCACTGCATATTGTCATTATTTGTTCTATTCTTAAGTTTCTACAAAGAATTAATGGCTTAGAAAAGGATCATTTGTTAAAACAAGCCATTTTCATAAGTATTGACAATCACACATGAAATAAGTCATCTTGGTAATCTAATATTGTATATATTTTAAACTGTATTGATGTTGATATAGAAACTTTAGACGTTGAAAAAGTTAAAAATATTTTGATTAGTAGATATAGGATTTACTGGAAAAATACTATAGACGATAATGCTAATGTTAAAAAAGGAAAATTGCGTACTTATTTTAAATTTAAAAACATCTTCAAAAGGGAAGCATATTTATGTCAAGTTAATAAATTTCAGTATCGAAAAAGCTTAACTCAGTTTAGAATTAGTGCTCATCAGTTAGCTATTGAGAAAGGTAGATATAAAAAGATCGATAAAGACAAAAAAATTGTGGGCAGAGTAAAAATATGCAGGCTGAAGACGAGTTTCATGTTTTAATAGAACGCACTGCATATGAAAAAGAACGAGATTTTATTCTTAATGAATTCAAGCATTCAATGTAAAAATTTCCCTTATATTTCAAAGTATGAACAATTTATTTGGTTGATGTCATGTGAGTCTGAAAATGTTAATATGTCAGTGTCACGATTTATAAGTACTTGTTTTGAAATAAGAGAAAATTTGCATTCCAAAAACTAAATATACATAGTAGTGATGTAGTTTATTTTTAATTTTGATTTTTTTATGTATTGTAGAGACAAAATATTCTATTTTATTTATTTTCAAACACCATCTAGCTAGTATGGAGTATAGTTATTTAATAATTTATATTTAATGTAATATATTTTTAAAATTACTGTATAATTAATATTATATATATGTATATGCTCGGAAACGGGACCTTTGATTGGACTTAATAAATATTCTTATTCTTATTCTTATCCTCTTATAAATATTTCAAAAACATCGACTCATTATCTCCTGCCATTTATTACAATACCTAATGCTTTCAAATCTTTTTTTCTTAAACTTATATCCGTCTGTTTTTCTTGCTCGTAAACATGTGCAACATGCCTATGAAAAAAAATAAGCAAAAATTAAAGATGTACATTGAGCCTCTTTCTTTTTCCTTTTCGAGTTTCCGTTCCTTATTCCGTTTCCGCCTTTTAGGAACATTTCATTTGTATACAGTATTTGCCCATTTTTCTTTATTATGATAACCACATTTGATTGTCACAAAGTCTGTCCAAGACTTCATGAGATTGACCCAGTGCATATGCTTAATTTGTTCAGCTATTTCATGCAATTTTGAATCTCTCAGCAAATACATATATAAACATTTGATGTTTTTGTTCAAAGCCACATAAAGAACTTCCAAAAGCAAGATCATAATGTTTTTGAAAGCTTTCAAGGATATCAATAAACATTTTTACTCACCACTAGAGGGTGTGTCATAAATAAAATTGGAATTTCAATACTGAAGGTCAAGGTCAGTATTTGGATGGCTGTTTAACGTCCAGATGCAAATTAAATGCATATTCAGGACGAGAATATATTATGTGATATGCATATAAACCCCGGCGGGCTGCATTGTACTAGACCGACACGCTGAACCGAATTTGTAACATGCTAGTTCACAAGGTCACAGTCCGCAGCAAAACATTTCATCCTACCCAGACTCATTCCGACTTTGAGCAGCCGATCAGTCTTTGCTCATTCTCCTAAATGATGTTTGCTTAGCAGAAAAGCAGTAAATACCAATTTTAAGACTTCGGTTTGATACGGCTTAGGGTTTGAACCAACGACCTCCCGCGCACAAGACTAATACGCTAACATGAGACCTCGGTGGCATCAAATTGTATATTCATGGGATATTTTGTGAGCCCTGCTCACAGTACATAAGTTTGAACAGGTAATTCCAGAAAATAAATAATATCCCTTAGGGAGCAACCATTAAACTTCAGTTGGGGGTTTCTCAGAGTCAGAAAGTTTTTTTTTCGCGAAAAACGCGAACATTTTTTTTTTAGTTTTACGACTCTATCAATCATTTTTTTTTAAATTCAACACTATAAGGTATGTGGAAAATCTGGATGCAGAATATATTTTTTTGTCATCTGCTTGACCACAATAATTTTTTTCATTAAATTTGGGATCAGAATTTTTTAGGAAAAAACCATAACCCCACCCTTGAAGTTAAATGGTCGTTCCCGTAGTTAGAGATATAAATCACATTTCCAAAAGTATTTACACCAGGAGATAGTGGATAAGAATTAATTGCTAATTTTCAACTTAAAGTCAATACTTTAAATCTCAAATAAATTGTCTGTACAATGTTATTGAATTTCGGTCCCTGATTATGCCACTACATGAAAATTTTGATAATTATGATACACCGACCAGCTTAAAGTGATTTAATGTACTAATGTATGTAAGAATGTCTTAGTGACCCATTCTGTATTCTTGTATTTGGTAGAATTTATTTTACAGACTTAATTTTGTCGTTGAAAGTTGACTACATATGTCTTGTCACGATAGTCCCACTTGTTTATACTAAAACTAATTACAATTTAGTAACTTTCTAAGTGTTTTAAACAATAAAAAGTGTTGTATTTACTGAAAGTACAATAGGTTAATTAAATTTCTTTTTATAAAGAAATACAATACTTGAAACTTTGTACAATGCTTTTGTCTACTGAACAGTACATACATTTTATCAATACATTTAATTCATGTCAAATTTGTGTATACACAACACAAAATAATAAACTGGTCAGACAAGTTTTTAAATTTAAATGAATAATTCTACGTAAGTGTCCCAGATGTTGGACATTTTACTTCCCTGTGGGAATTCCTTTCTGTCAACATGTTCATGGTAAGAGTTTCCAAATAATCCAATTGCTAATATATTTTATAACTCAAAATACAGAATTTATCATTCTTCGGCAACTGCCCATGATAATTACAGTATAATATTTATGAGAAAATAAGAAATCAATGTTTCATTAAAAAAGAAAGTAGAACCGTGATAAATTTCACAGGGACTGAACACAAATGAATCGGAGAATTTACCCTCTTTGAGCAAGTATTGCTCATTCTGACACAGTACAAATTGTGTACATAATATCTCCACTCAGTCTTTTATTTTCCTTCTTTTTAATATCTACAACACAGAGAATATAAAAGAAGGGTTTGGTGGTTCAAGTGATTACGTCATTGAAAAGAGGAGAACTGTTGAATATTAATGAGTATCCTGGTTCAATCAAAGATGTGACCTTTGGAAATATACCAAACTTAATTATTACGCTTTATTTATTTAATGAATCTGAGAGCTGTAGTATAGCCATGGAAAATCATGTCTACTTGCTCAGACCAGTATATTATATTCCGTTTGAACTCTATAAATCAATTCAATGGCCTTAAAGTATTTAAGGACAAATTATTGATTTTGAAAATTTTCAGGCCTAGTTATAACATATTATTATAGGAAAGGTTTAAGGCGTAGAACGTTGTTAATTATTTTCCATATAAACCTTTTCTATATAATTGTGATTTGTCATTGCATATCTGGGCGTAGCTGTATTTGTATATCTTACAGTAATATTTTAAGGAAAACTATTTAAAGTTTTATTTTGGAGAGTTTTTCCATATATTTCAGAGATAAAGAAATAAAGTAATGGCCTCATCAGTCAAGCACTTTTGTACAATTTGCCATGATGATGGAACCTCCAACAGAGCTGTCACCTGGTGCACAGAATGCGAGGTTTTGTTTTGTGAAGACTGTGAAAAACCTCACAGCAAGTCAAGACTGTCTAAGAACCATAAAATTATGTCATCTGAAGATTACCACCAGTTACCTACATTCATGCAAGAAATAAGCAGTCAGTGCAGAGACCACAAGAAGACATTTGAACTTTATTGTTCTTTCCATGCCTGTCCATGCTGTGTCCAGTGCATCACCGAACACCAGAAATGTCAAGACCTTAAACCCTTGTCTGATATCCTAAAGCAAGTAAAATCATCTGCCTCAGTTCATCTTTTTGAAAAAGATTTGAAGGATGTAAAGGAAAACTTAGATACAACCATAAAATACATAAAAACCAGGATCAGTACCATCAATACTCAAAAAACGAAAGCCGTCGGGGAAATCCGGTATATGAAGAAGTCAATCAATGATTACTTAAACAATCTAGAGCGAGACATACTTAATGAATTAGAGTCTAAACATTCTAAGCTAAAATTAGACATGGCCTCTCTTTTGCAGCAAATGGAACAACGAGCAAGTGAGGTAAATCAAATGCAGAGCCAGTTTACCAAAATGAAGCAATATGCAACAGAGCTGCAGATGTATATTGGTCTAAGAGAAATTGAGAAATCTACATCACAAATGGCAAAATATATAGAAGATTTAGAAAGTGGAGACAATTTCATTGAAAAGAATCTAGAGGTTAAAATTTCGTCTGCTCTTCAATCTATTTTACTCGACGTCAAATCCTTTGGAGATATCAATATTAATACCACCTCTTCTACACTCCAACTAAAGGCTGGAAGAAAAGATCAAGCCCAGAATTATATTTCAAAAGTTCTAGATATTGAACAAATAAAGCCATCCTTGTTGACAAGACTGACTATTCCAAAAGATATGAAGACTTTAAGTATTATTGCCTGTCGTATATTACCTGATGGCAAATTTATAATACTTGATCTTCACAAAAAACAACTACTGCTGTTCAGTAAAGATGGCATCTTCATCAGAATAGTAGTTACATTCACACAAGATCCATTAGATGCCTGTTTTGTCAGAAACAATACAGTAGCTGTTACATTAGGATACGCCAATCAGGTAACACTGGTGGATATAGAAAAGAATAAAATTATTCAGACCATCAAACTTTCTCATGGTTGTTATGGAGTAGCAAGTGATGGTGAAACTTTGGTCATCAGTAGTTCTAGCAAGCATTGTACTAGAGTGAATCTGTATGACATGTCTAATACAATTATAGCAGGAATGGAAGCAATGGGTTGTATTTCATTATTCCAAGGAAACATCTATGGGATCAATCTCTTTGAAAACAATGTCAGCTGTTTAAAAAGAACGGGTGAACCTCTGTGGACATTTCAGCACCAGGACATTATCTATCCAGTAGGAATAACATTAGACATGCATGGCTTTGTTTATACAGTTTCTGAAGCAAACAACAGTGTTGTGGTAGTATCACCAGATGGTAGAACCTGTAAGACCATACTATCAGAGGCTGATGGAATCAAATGTCCTTATGGAATAGACATAAACAAAGAAACAAAAATGATGATAGTGTCTAGTAAAATAAGTGAAGGTAGCAAAAACTATGACACAGCTTTTGTTTATAAAATTTAATTTTATGTTTTTATAATTATATCTGATATCGAGATTATTACATCTTTATTAAGAATTAAACTCATTATTAGAATACATGTTTGATCATTTTTCATATGATAAAAGATTTTAATGTTCTGACCGGATCTTTAAGAAAAATTTCGGTAATTAATCTAGTGATATACGGCGGACGGGCAGCCGAGCGGCTGCCAAAACGTGTCTGTGTAATAACTTGAAAACGCTTTAAGTAAATCTTTTCAAATTAAGATATGTTGTTTCCTGTTATCGTTGTTAAGTTGTAGACCTATAAGTTGACAAAATTACTTAGATACATTTGGCCTTTCCAATACTGAACCCTACAAAAATTCATTTTATTTTTTTGTTACTTGATCCTGTTTGGGGGTCCAGATTTGCAAATATCATTTCCATGCAAGAAAATCCGTTTGCTGTCAATCTGACAGCCTCTTGTTTCTCAAATCACATAGCATAAATTCTAATTAAGAAACCAGTAAATACAAAAATTTAAAGAATGTTTCTTTCATGCAGTCGCTGAACCATGAAAATGTGGTCAATGACAATAGACATATGACAGACGGAAACTGCATAACACAATATATATGCATACAAGGTATGAAGAATCCAGGTCTTCTGGAATATAAAGCTTTAAACAAACAGTTTACATCGCCGCTGCCGGATAGCAATTCCATTGTCTCGCATTTTTATACGACCGCAAAAAAATTTTTTTTGAGTCGTATATTGGTATGATGTCGTCGTCGTCGTCGTCGTCGTCCGAAGACACATTCGGTTTCCACCAATAACTTTAGTTTAAGTGAAATGAAATTTTACCGGAAGGTTCAATACCACAAAAGGAAGGTTGGGATTGATTTTGGGGGTTATAGTAATTATTTAGAAATTAAGGGCAAAAAACAGGCATTTTTGTTGTTTCCGGACAATAACTTGTTTGTAAGTGTATGGATGTTTCTGAAATTATACCACAAGGTTCCATATCACAAGGGGAAGACTGGGATTGAGTTTGGGGGTAATTGCCCTAAATGTTCAGGAATTAGTGCCAAAAAGGGGCCAAAAACAAGCATTTTTCTAGTTTCCAGACAATAACTTGTGTTTAAGTGTATGGATCTCTCTGAAATTGTACTGCAATGTACCATACCACAAAGGGAAGCTGGGATTGAAAAGGGGGTAACAAAAAAATTTGGAGGGGGATTTTTTTTTTTTTCAGAATTTTTTTGGTTTTTTTTTCATAATTTTCCTTTTTTACATTAATTATTTCTGATTTATATATAAAGGCAAAAAAGACTGATATGGCAGGAGATACACACCAAACATAATGTGTAAATTATTATATGAAGTATTGTGCAATAGCTGGAAATATTCAATTGCATAGTATTGCGCAATAGCAACAAATCTTCAATTGCACAGTATTGTGCAATAGCACAATAATGCACAATAGCAAGAAATCTTCAATTGCACAGTATTGCGCAATAGCAAGAAATCTTTAATTGCACAGTATTGCGCAATAGCAAGAAATCATCAATTGCACAGTATTGCGAAATAGCAAGAAATCATCAATTGCACAGTATTGCGCAATAGCAAGAAATATCTAATTGCACAGTATTGCGCAATATCACAATACTGCACAATAGCAAAAAATCTTCAATTGCATAGTATTGCGCAATAGCAAGAAATATCCAATTGCACAGTATTGCGCAATAGAAAGAAATCTTCAATTGCACAGTATTGCGCAATAACACAGTATTAGGCAGTAGCACAATATTGCACAATATCACAGTATTGTGCAATAGCACAGTATTGCACAATATCACAGTATTGCACAATATCACAGTATTGCACAATATCACAGTATTGCACAATATCACAGTATTGCACAATATCACAGTATTGCGCAATAGCAAGAAATCTTCATTTGAAAATAAATACAAATATTTCAACCCATTTCAAAATTTTAAGATCTTTCACCACATTTATTTTGTGTCAGAAACCTATATTATGTCAAAAATTTTATCACAATCCAAATTCAGACAGCTTGAATATTGTGTCCAAACTTGCAACAACTGTTCAGGGTTCGACCTCTGCGGTCGTATCAGGCTGCGCTCGAACTGGACTTAACACAAACTGTTTCAAAGTCTATGAACCATGATGAGGGAGTGGGCCATACGATCTTCATGGAAATGAAACAAGCAAATAAAAATGAGATGTATAAATGCTAAAACGAAATAGAATTGACCTACCATTAGTGATATTCCTTAAACTGAGATAATCACAAACTTTCACATGTAAACTAAGCAGGCTTTTCATAGTCAATAGACCATGAGAATGCAGGGCCGAATGGACTGGCTTACACGATCATTAAATACTATTAAAACTGTGCAAAGATACATATATTTTGGCATTGCACAAGGCCATGTTTTTTTCTGACTGGCAATGACGTCTTTGCACTAAATCCATTGGATGTTAGATGTGAACTGATTGATACACGATACATGATTGTTTTGCATTCGTTGCTATTGACCTTGAACAGCTTTTAATAACTGTGAGTACTTTTATATCTGTACTAAAACCTCTAAATACCCTGCCACGTCCGGTTTGTGCTTTTGCTTTTATGTTTTTCTGCTTTGTATCGATCTGACGAGTTAAGCCTTTTTCAACCGATTTCTATTATTTGTTCTTATGTTGTGCTGTCCCAGGTTTGGAGAGGGTTGAGCGCTCACAAACACGTGTAACCCCGTCATATTCTGTATGTGCCTGTTCCAAGTCAGGAGCCTGTATATCAAAACCACATCATGGTAACATCATTAATATTAACCTGAAAATAAATATGAATTTATAACTGATGTAGTCAGTGTTTAAATATGACATAACACGAACAAGGAATAAATATATAAACTCTGTTTACTCAGATGCTTAAATAAGAAAGGTATTTAACCATGTAATTCTTCTTCATCTTCTTCTACATGAACATGCATGAAATAGTTTCAACTGGACGTTTAGCAACTACCAATCAATCTATCTTCTACAATATAGTGACCTCCGTCAACAAATTAAAGATTATGTCACAGGAGGATAACCTACAACAAGACACAGATTAATATATATACAAATTAAACATAGAGGGAAAAGGAAAATTACAAATGTAATGTGATAGTACTTATGTATAGACTAGAAAACTCTTTCTTTCTGTTTTATACCATTTCATTCCATTATAATCTATTGATACAGATTATTTAATATTTGAATTATTCATCAAGCTCTAATGAATTTAAAGTCTTTTATGGTAATCTAATTTTATTTGTCATTCATAAAGATCTGATTCACACTACGCTGTATACCAAATCTTGATCACAATGTTAAAATCTCTAAGACTATTAAAATAAAGTAAAATAATTATACACAACTGACCTATGAAGTAAACATGATATTTCCTAAAAAATTATTATGCAATATAGCAATTCAGCAATCTATCATGGAACTAGAATTTTTACACTATGTCAAATAATATGTCGACTCAGTAAGCTAATTCAAAAGAGTAAGCAAACATTAGAAATGTTCCTCCAAGTAGAACATTTGACCAACATTATTGTCCAGAGCATTGATTAAGAATCTAAATATAGAAATCAAGGTAACATAGAAAAACAGGTAAACTGGTCAGTATAACAATATCTATATATTCACTTCTTTTTTGCCAGATCGCAATTTTGTAACCCCTAGATTCCACATTTCCACTCCCCCCCCCCCCCCCCCCCCCCGCCCCTCTCATCCCATATACCTTACCCTTCATCCCCGTTCAGCACACTTCTAAATTTTGTAAAGATAACACCGTCAAGTGAATTCCTTTTATTCAAAATATTTTGAATGTTATTTCTTTTATATTCATTTATTAATGAAATGCGTATTTATACCCAAGGGGTTGAAAGCATATGGAAACTAGAATACAAATATATACACAATGCAAAAGTGATAAACTATTTAACATCATATATAGCGGTAGTAAAAATGTAATGTTCTAATCAGTAGTTATACTTTGCATTTGAATATTTAACTCCTACTAGCATTTA